CAGACTGACTGAAATCCACTGCTGAGGGGAGCAGCGGGCGAGACAGGAGAGGTCTCTGCGCCATGTGGGACCCTCGCCAGCCGGCAGGGATGGAACCCGCGCTGCAGAGGCTGCGGACAGCTTCACAGAGCTGGGCTCAACCACCTGAGCCAACAGGGTGACCCTCCTTTCATTTTCTTACATGGTTGGTCATCTTTGTACAGTGACTGTCCCCCTTGGGGTTGGCCCCCCCACGACCATCCCACCCCCTCCCCTCCTCCAGCCGCTCTGACGCCTCCCTGCGGCTCTGGTTTTAAAAGAGACTCAGCTCTAAGTGTTCGGATTTAGCAGAAGGCCCAAGCCCTCGGGCCTCGTGTCCTTGCTGGCCCACGGCTGTCACAGCAGCCTCCTACCAGAGCAAAGGTGCACAGCTCCAGGCGCACCAGGCCTGGGGGCACCAGCCTGTGTCTCCAGCCAGCGGGGGTGGCGCCTAGACAGCAGTTGGGAATCCTGATGTTGAAAGGTGACCACAAACAGCCCTCAGGGATGCACGGGAAATGAGGCAACCACTTAGGTGCCTTCTGGGGAACAGGAGGGTCAGGAGCAGGACCTGGAGCAGGGAGAGGTGTGCTGGGCCCTCCTGACAGCTCAGGGGTCCAGGAGAGGGTGGGGAACTGTCAGCGTTGGGGTGGTTCCTCTTCCCGTGGGATCCCCATTGTGATGGCACCCCACCCAGTCGGGGGCCAGTGCTTGGGTCTGGGGCACTCGGGAGCCGTGAGAGAGTTTAGAACATACAGGGGGAAACACACGTGAGCACTCCTGGTGCTGCTCAGAACCCTCGCCCCAGCGCCACTGGGTGGATGGAGGGAGGTGTCCCTCCATGGAGAAACTGAAGCCCACAGAGGGAACCCTGGGGTCACCCAACTAGATGGGGGTAGAGCTTTGGGGTCTGGAGTCAGTTGGCTCTCGTGCTGTGTTTGCTGGGCCCATGGGGAGCTGGGAGGCGGGTGTCAGGAGGGGGGTGGACAGGTGGGACGAGGAGAGGGAGAGAGGGAAGCAGACTTTGGGGTGGGGGCACTGGACTAAGGCAGAGGCCTGGGGGCCATGTGGGGACATTTAAGGTGGCTGAGCCATGATGCTCAGCAGGGACTAGGCTTGAGCTCCAGAACCCCAACATTTGGACTGGGCAGAGAATTGCCAGTCTACTCTGAGTCCCACTCCCCAAATCCTCTCACACCACCTCGGGAGGAGAGACCACCTGGAAGAGCTCTCCACGGCCCAGGTGTCCCCGAGGCAACCCCAAGTCCTCATCTTCACCTTGGAAATCGCACTATTAAAAACCGTAAGGTGGAATTTGCGGAACCTAAAATTAAACACCATGGTACCATTCAGTGTTTCAGCAGCATCGCACGATTGTGCAACCACCGACATTCCAGCCCTGCCTAAGAAGCCCCAGCCCCACTGCAGTCCCGCCCACTCCCTCCCCAGCCCTCACGCCACCCCGCTTCCTGCAGGCCCCGGACGTGTCTCCTCAGTGGACTCACACCGCGGCCTCGTGTGTCTGCTTCTCTCCCTGAGCATCGTGTGTTGAGGGCCCTCCCTGCTGTGGCGAGTGTCAGAGCTGCCCGCCTTTTCCTGGCCGGTGATGCACTGTGTGCTGGAGGAGCTGGCCCTGTGCTGCCTGGCCATGGGTCCAGACTGTCTTGGGGCCCACACCCTCTGGGACTTTGGCCTGGCCCGGCTGGGCCGCTCTACGGCCCCTGTCCCTAGGAACTACTGTTGATTTGTTTTCTGTGGTGAAGTGACCTGCCACACAGAGAGCCAAAGTGGCTTGGCTGGGATCACACTAAAGGCTACTGCCCAAGCTGGGATTTGAACCCAAAGCAGTTTGCAGACCAAAATGCGCAGGAGGCTGCTCCTTCCTGGTCTTCTTAACCTCCCTGAGGGGGCGCAGTCGTCATAGGACATGAGAAGCAATGAGGGACCATGTGCCTCTTGATCACAGAAGGTGAATGTGCCACTTGACACAGAAAGAGCTAAAATAGGAATATTGAGGAACAAATACAGTTGTGTAAAAATAATATATAAAATTCATAATAGGGCCTCCCCCATGGCGCAGCGGTTGAGCCCTGGGCTGCAAAACTGCCCGCTGCCTCTTCAGCGTCCGTTCGCTCCCCGGCCAACGGCGAGGTCCCACATGGTGCGCAGACCTCTCCTGCTGCGCCTACTGCTCCCCTCAGCAGTGTACTTCATCAGTCTGCCTGTTCTGTTCCCCGCTCTGTCTCTGGTGAATCCTCTTACCCTCCCGCACTTCTGACTGTCCCAGTGCCTGTATGCATAAATAAATAAATAAATCTTAAAAAAATGCATAATAAATAAATTCTTATTACACAATAGAGGTCATTAAACTAAATAATTTTATTTTATTTATTTTTTAAAGATTTATTTATTTATTTATACAAGCACTGAGTACAGTCAGAAGTGCAGGAGGGTGAGAGAATTCACCAGAGCCAGAGCGGGAACAGAACAGGCAGACTGATGAAGTACACTGCTGAGGGGAGCAGCGGGAGTGGCAGGAGAGGTCTGCACACCATGTGGGACCCTCGCTGGCGGCCGGGGATCGAACTGGCGCTGCAGAGGCTGCGGACAGCTTCGTAGCCCAGTGCTCAGCTGCTGTGCCACCAGGGGAGGCCCAACTAAATAATTCTATTAAAACAAAAATTTAATATATTATTATGTATCACTATTAAATGTTATGTCTATAGATTTTAAATGTAAGTGGTTGATAATATAAGGATACATATAAACATAATAAATCTAACGTATAAAGAGCACTAAATTAGCAAGACAAAACCCACAGCAGCGCAGTAGTGAGAAAACAAGGAAAGGACCTCCTTGGTGGCACAAAGGGTTAAGTCTCAGCACTATGAAGCTGTTCACAGCCTCTGCAGCATCGATCCCTGGCCAGGGAGCTACCCACATGGCACAGCAGACCCCTTCAGCCTCCCCACTGCTCCCCTCAGCAGTGGATTTCAGTCCATCTGCCTGTTCTGCTTCCCACTCTGTCTCTGGTGAATCTTCTCACCCGCCCCCGCACCTCTGGCCTGCACCCCAGTTCTTGTATGCATGAATAAATAAATCTTAAAAAAAGAAAACAAGGAAAGATAATAACCGTTCACAAAGAAACACAAATGGCTTTGGAAACTGGGCATGCAGGACAGCAGAGTGCCCAGATGCCACTCAGGTCCAGGACAGACAGGAGAGACGCGCAAATGGGGCCTGGGCTCTGCGCTGCTGGCCTGAGCAGGCCGGCGTCTGGTGGCCGTGACCCAAGGCCGCCCTTATCAGAGGTGGCTGCTGAGAAATGCAGCCGATCTCCTCAGAGGAGACTTGTTTTAGCCTCTGGGATGTGCAAAAGTCCTGCCCTTGGTAAGCACTGTGCCACCTCAGAGTCAGGGGAGTAGGGTGCCCTCGGCAGGGAGGGGCCTGAGCCTCAGCTTACACTCAGGGCTTGCCCCTACCTGTCCTCTTGCACTGGCTGCCAGGGGGTGCAGGGGGTGGTGCTGACTGACTAGAGGAGGAGACCAGAAAGGGGCCACTGTCCCCATGGGCAGAGCACAAATGCAGGGGCTGGCTCATCCGTGGGGTACCCAAGGGACCTCTGCCTTTTGCATGGGTCAAGGGATCCCAGTGTTGTGGGGGGTAGGTGTGCAGACACCCCTCTGCTGCTTGGGTCACCCAGAAGCCTGAGGAAAGCAGCTCTTTTTTTTTTTTTAAAGATGTATTTATTCATGCATGCAAGAGCTGGGGTACAGGCCAGAAGTGTGGGGGTGAGAGGACTCACCAGAGACAGAGTGGGAAGCAGAACAGGCAGACTGACTGAAGTACACTGCTGAGAGGAGCAGCGGGGAGACAGGAGAGGTCTGCTGCGCCATGTGGGTAGCTCCCTGGCAGGCCGGGGATGGAACTCGTGCCGCAGAGGCTGTGGACAGCTTCGTAGTCCTGTGCTTAACCCTTGTGCCACCATGGAGGCCCCAAACCAGCTCATTTAGGGAGCTGGAGGCAGCCCTTTCCTTATGGATGGGGCCTCACCCCCTGGCGTCCAGGTGCTGTACACGGGCTTTGCACCTGGGCACACAGAAGGAGATGGCCGGCTCGCTCCTTCTCCTGGCGGCTGCGGGGCCATCGGGCTTCTCCCTCACACAGATAAGGAGAGAGGCTCAAGGCCCTGGCCTCTGCTGCTCCGCGTGTCCTGACCCCGGTGCCCTAGACGCCTCCCAGCGGCCCCAGGCGCTGGCCCTGGCTGGCAGCTGCCAAGGCCAGTGGTGTTGCCATTAACCCATGTCACAGACAGGAAGACGGAACCCAGGCCTCCTTATCATTCTCGCTGAGTCGCTGTTTACAGTTGTTGATAACATCATTCACACTCTGATAACACTCCCAATAACGATGTTGTTGACGTATTGAAGTGCGCTAGTCAATGGCGTCTAGTACATTCCCACTGCTGTGCAACTGCCACCACTGTCTCATTCCAGAACATTCCATCACCCGAAATGAAATCCCTTCTCCCTTAGCAGTCACCCCCATATTATCCTCCAGCCCCTGACACCATGACCCCACTTTCTGTCTGTGTCTGTGCCTGTCTGGACGTTTCTCGCCAGGGACTCACACCGCGTGTGTCTGGCTTCTTCACCTTGGAAATCGCACTATTAAAAACCGTAAGGTGGAATTTGCGGAACCTAAAATTAAACACCATGGTACCATTCAGTGTTTCAGCAGCATCGCACGATTGTGCAACCACCGACATTCCAGCCCTGCCTCAGAAGCCCCAGCCCCACTGCAGTCCCGCCCACTCCCTCCCCAGCCCTCACGCCACCCCGCTTCCTGCAGGCCCCGGACGTGTCTCCTCAGTGGACTCACACTGCGGCCTCGTGTGTCTGCTTCTCTCCCTGAGCGTCGTGTGTTGAGGGCCCTCCCTGCTGTGGCGAGTGTCAGAGCTGCCCGCCTTTTCCTGGCCGGTGATGCACTGTGTGCTGGAGGAGCTGGCCCTGTGCTGCCTGGCCATGGGTCCAGACTGTCTTGGGGCCCACACCCTCTGGGCCTTGGCCTGGCCGGCGGGGCCCCTCCATGGTCCCTGTTCCTGGATTGACCCTGTCTAGTCAGACAACCCTGCAGATTTGCCTCTCCCCCTCCTTTCCCCTGGCCCCACTTTCTCACTGCGACCCCACAAAGCTTTGAAAGCGTCATGAATTCCTGTCACCATGACATTATGAAGTGGGCCTCAAAATCATTTGATGGGGGCAACAGAGGGGGACTGGGGGTTAGGCTGGGGGCTGGGGGCTGTGCAAGGGGCCCAGGGGCACGACAATGCATGATGTGACCCCTCTGTGCACACCTGAGGGTCTCCAAGTAACACAGAAATACACCCATGACAGGGCTGAGCCACCGGGGAAGGCCAGCATCTTCCACTGCTCCAAGAGTGTTCTCCATCAAGGAGAGATGACAGACACAGGCACAGAGACGCTGCAGGCAAGGCCCCTGCCCCCCACGCTGGGCAGAGTCCTCTGGTCCTCGCTGGCTCCCACCCAAACCCCTTTCCTGGACCCCAAGGCCGTTAAGGTTTCACCACCCACAGCTGGAGCCAGAGGGGCCAAGGTTGCAACTTCCAGCCCCTACTTCCCCTGCCTCCCTGGCATCCCAGAAGCCCCAAAGAGGTTCTCCCCCCATTGCCATCCCCAGCGTCTCCACTGATCCCAGATCCCACCCTAGCCTGTGCCTCCCCACCTCCAGATAGCCCGTGTGAGGCTGAAGCTTGGGCAGGGCTGAGGGGCAGCAGCTGTGACCCTGTGACCCTCCAGAGATCCAAGAACTGGCAGGACCTGCCAGACTCCTGCCAAGCCCCAGGCCCCAACCTGAGCGCAGGGTGCTGGCAGGCCCCCCAAGAGCCGCCATGGGGACCCGCTGGCCGCAAGCGCCAGCAGGCACGTGGGGCCTGGGCCGGGAGGACGGTTGGGAGCTGGGGTCTGTGTCATTCCACGCCCCCCACCCCAACCCCGGCCCGCTCCCCCGGGGGTGTAAGACTGGCTTTGGGGAGGCTGCTGGAGGCAGGTTGGGGAATTGCGAGGACTTCTCCAGGCGTGAAATGATTTCAAAATGAAAAGTTGAAAGTCACTCCCACCCCCACCCCCCCAGTGAGCGCCTCTGCTCCCGCAGCTCGGCCTTTCACTGCAGCGCGTCTGCACCCACGCACGGGCCTCCTCGGCACCGCCCTCGCCCTGGGCGCCTCGCCCTCGGCACTGCTGACTCCGCTGGGCACCCCCGCGGGCCGGCCGTGGCACTGAGGTGTTGAAGCCCACCCGCAGATGCCAAGCACAGCTGCCACCAGATATTGGCCGGCGTCGCCCGGGGCAGAGCGCCCTGGGGAGCCCCCGCCCCTGCTTCTTGCTCCTGGACTGGTTGAAACATCGCGGGTGAGAGACGGGGCGGGCGGGGGTGGCGCTGCCAACGGCGGTGTGGATCTTGGTTTTGATTTTGCTCTTTTCCTCCCAGACTTGTCTGGCTGCCTCTGAGCCTTTCCTACGGGAACCGCCCGTTACACCCTGAGAGAAAAGTGGGGGAGAAGGTGTCCCTGTGATCTCGGTGGGGGACTCCGGGCTCTGTCTTTTCTGGTCCCTGTTCTTGACCCCCACTTCGCGGGGCTTGGCCCGGCCCCTGTATACAACGACCCACCCCACTTGGGGCTGTGGGGCCACAGGGGTGCACCCTCACCCAGAGGACCCCCAGACTAGGGTGGGGAGCTCCCCAGGCCTCGAGGGAATGTGGACCCCAAGTCTGAAGCCCCAGCATCCTTAGTGGAATATGTTCTGACCCCCAAGTCCCTGCAGCCCCCAAGGTGGAAGGAGGAAGTAGGGCTGCCCAGCCCAGGTGTGGGGCAACCCCAACGGCCTCCCGCCAGGGCTATAAGAGGGCCAGGTGGATACGGGGTGGGAGGCCCGGGAGCCCCCGCCTGACCATGACACACATCCACCGCCCCTCTGGCACTGCCCTCACCCCTCTCCTGCTGTCCATGCTGCTGAGTGGTGAGTGGGGCCCGCGTCTGTCTTCTGGGCTGGGCTGCTTCGGGGGAATGTCTTATGGCGGGCAGCGCGCGTGCGAGGGCCCGGAAGCGGCACTGGGGCTGCTGGGGGCAAATCGCTCAGGGCAGCTGAGAAAAGGGGCGTCCTGGGTGGTTTGATCAGCTTTCCCCTCTGGAGCAGGGGTAACGCCCAGTCCTTCCAGCCTCGGGGGGTGCTGTGGGAGTTAAATAAGGTATAACCAGTGAATTTCTGCCTAGCTCCCGGCATACAGCAGGTGGTGAATAAGTGTGCACTGATGCAGGGGCGAGAAGAAGAACAAGAGTGAGCTCCCTCCTCCTCATGAGGATTTTGGAGGCCTCAGTTTACCCATCTGCAAAAGGGGTCACATTGTCCGTTCTCCCCCTCCCCCCGCCCCCCTCACTGCTCTTGCTTCTGAAAACAAAAGTCCCCGGGATTCAGGACGGGCTCCGCCTCCAGGGGAGCCTTTGGCGACGATAGGGCCAGCAGCTCTGGGGCCCAGGCTCACTGGCCACCGCCGGGCCTCCCAGCAGCAGGGCAAGTCCTGCACCACCCACGCACGATGCGCAGGCCGGGGACAGGCCCTGGTGCCCGGGCCTGGGGGCGGGTCACGGAGCGGCTGGGGACCCTGGGCACAGCTGTACAGGTGACAGTCGCTGACCCCCGTCCGCAGGAGCAGCCTGGGCCGTGGAGATTGTGGGGGGGCGCGAGGCCCGGCCCCACTCGCGGCCCTACATGGCATCGCTGCAGATGCGGGTGGTTCCCGGCAGTCACTTCTGTGGAGGCACCTTGATCCACCCCAGTTTCGTGCTGACGGCTGCCCACTGCCTGCAGAACATGTGAGTGTGCTGCCCGGGGCCAGCTGCGGTCTGCTGGGGGTGGGGGTCGTGGCAGGGACCCTGGGGGAGGAGAGAAGGGAGAGGCATGACCCCGCCCGGTCCCGCCCCCTGCCCCCAGGCCGAGGCCGCCTGAGGGGCGGGTCTGAGGCCCAGGCAGGCTCCATCCTGGGGTCCAAGGCAGAGGGCCCTGGCCCAGGGTGGGGACCGGGAGGAGCCCTGTTCTTGGGTCTGAGGGAGTAGGCACGGCTCCGTCCTGGGGGCGGCCTCCCCTTGTCCTGCTCTCACCGCTCCTCCACCTGCCCCGCCGTCTAATTCCAAACAACCCAGGCCCAAGAGCCCTCATGGCACTTGGGGGGTAAGGGCAGGTAAGGCCACTGGTCTTCTGGGGTGGGGGCCATGGGTCCCTGGGCCTCTAGGCGCCTGGGGTCAGGGGGCTGGTGGATAGGGGACCCAGGATGAGCACCTTGCCCCGCAGAGACCCCACGATGGTGAGCGTGGTGCTCGGGGCCCACGACCTGCAGAACCCGGCGCCCACCCAGCAGCAATTCTCCATCGCCCGCCTGTTCGAGAACAACTATGACCCGGAGCTGAAGCTCAACGATGTGGTGGTCGTGCAGGTCTGTGGCCTGGCGGGGCAGGGGCCAGCTGGGCCTGCGGGGGGCCAGCAGGGTTCAGGATGGTCATTCACTCTTCAGCAGACATTTATTGAGCACCTGCTGTATACACACCCGCATGGGTGCCTTTGGTAGACCCGGTGGGGACTGAGCCACCACACAGCCTCGTGGGAACGCCCCTGCCTCCCTGCCTTTGCTCTGGCGGTGCCCCCTGCCCCTCTTTGGCCCCCCAGCCTGTGTACCAACCATATCTTCCCAGCAGGGTCTCCCCAGTGCTACTTGATGTGACAGTCACCCCTTCCCTGACTCACTGCCACCACTGGCTCTGCATCCTTGATCGTACTGTCATTCTCTTCCTGGCTCCTAGTCTTCCCCCAAAGATCAGTTCCCCGAGGACAGAGGTAGGATCCCTGGGGCTTAGCATAGGACCCAGCATACAGTTGGTGCTCATTAAGTGCTTTGTAAGTGAATGAATGCAACAGTGACAAATGGTAAAATGGGATGGGGGAGAAGAGAGGTCAGGGAGATGGTTTGGCCATGGCTTGGGTATGGTCTTAGAGACCGTAAAATTGAGCTCTGGTGGGGTTTGGAGGGTCAATCAAGGTGGGGTCCCTGGAGGAGGTGACCCCTAAGAGCACAAGGAGAGGGCTAGACATCTGTGCAAAGGCCATGAGTGGGTGGTTGGGAGGTGGGTGGTCTTGGGGCCTGGAGATGGCGCCTCATGGCTCTTCCACCTCTGTCTGCCCTAGCTGGACCGGCCAGCCATCCTCAATGCCCAGGTGGCAGTGGCCCCACTCCCCCAGCAAGGCCAGCTGCTGCCCCATGGTACCCAGTGCCTGGCCATGGGCTGGGGTCGCCTGGGCACCCGTGCGCCAATTCCTCGGGTCCTGCAGGAGCTGAATGTCACCGTAGTCACCTTCCTGTGCCGGCCAGAGAACGTGTGCACGTTTGTCTCCCGCCAGAAAGCTGGCATCTGCTTCGTAAGTGCCATCCCAGCACCTCACTCCCCAGTTGGGTGGCCAGAAAGGCTTCCCTGAGGACCCCCAGAAGGAGCCCCAAGGGGCCAGCTGGGGGAAAGAGGGTGGGATGCTGCACCCCACCTCCTCACGGCAGCTGAGGCTACACCTTGGTATCCCTATCTGGAAGGTGGACGCGCCCCCTGTGGGGGATCAGCAGGTGATTTGTGCAGTGGCCTCAGCCCAGCACACAGCAGTGGCCTCACGTAATGCCTGGGGCCTTTGTAGTCTGGGGGCTTTCCCACTCCAGGCCCCTCTTGGACTCTAGGGAGGTGTGGGTGACTCATACCAGGGGCGACGTCCAGGATCTGAGCGCCCAGGTATACAGCAGGAGACCAATAAGTGCTACTCTCCAGCACGGTCTCATCTCCCTCGCCAATCCAGGTGTCTTAGAGAAAATCCCAGACAGTAAACATTTTACCCCTGAAGGCGTCTGCCCGCCCCAGCCCCTACTCCTGGGCTTGGCCACGTCCGGGTTACTTCTGACAGGCTGTCCCGCCCTCTGCAGGGGGACTCTGGCGGCCCCCTGGTCTGCGACGGCATCCTGCAGGCCGTGGACTCTTTCATCATCCGGGAGTGTGCCACCGGCCAGTTCCCGGACTTCTTCGCTCGCGTCTCCCTCTACGTCGACTGGATCCGCTCCGTGCTGAAGAATAGGGTGGCTGGGGCGGCCGCTGAGCCCCAGGTGCTGAGGCTGGACAAGTCATAATGGGGGAACGTTCGACGGAGACAGCAGCTCTCCAGAAAGTGGCTTCTTCCCCCACCTGGGGCTCCCAAGAGCCAGGGGCCTGTGCCAGCCCCGCCGCCTGTCAATAAAAAAGGACATTCCCACTCTGCTCCCTGCCTGTCCTTCCCACGTGGGAAGATGGGGGGCGGGGAGCTGCCAAGGGTCCCCTGCCGTGTCCCCAGACCGCAAACTCAGGATGGGATCTGGCAGAGCCTGGGGCTGCGGGAGGCCCCAGAGGCCCCAGACCTGGGGTCTCGTCCAACCCCACCAGCGTGACTCTGGGGGAGTCGCTGCCCAACTCTGCACCTCAGTCTTCTCACCTGGAAAGTGGAGTCGCCCCAGACATTTCCCAAAACTGTTCAAGCACTCCCCATCTTGGCCAGTAGGGATTGGGGGGATCACGTCCAGTTTTGGGTTTCCCAGCCTGGGGGCAACTTGAGGGCCAAGAAGCTGAACTGGGGGTGCCCAGGGCCTGGGGGCCCCTGTTTGGTCAGGGACCGGCAGAGCAGCTGTTAGGGAGGTCCCTGGAGAGATGGCGAAGCCTGAGCTAGAGACTGTGCGAGAGGGAGCGGCCGAGATGGGCCACCAGTCAGAGCCACGCGAGACCAAAGACCTGGGTGAGGGCCAGCTGGGAGGGCCTGCAGGCTCAGGGTGGCTGGAGTGGAATGAAGCGAGGGGCAGTTTGGGAGACGAGCCGGGGTGGGCCTAGGGGGCAGGTCTGAGGCCAGGAATTGGCCGGGTCCTGGGCCAGCAGTGGAGAGGACTAGTGGCTTCAGGAAGGCGGCATCAAGTCTCAAGAGGCCAACATGCCTGCGGGATACCCCGGAGTCAGCCGGCAGCGCCTGCCTCTCGAGCGACTCTGCCGCCCCCTGGTGCAGCATGCAAAGTCAAGCAAGAAGAAGAAGGAGCAGGCCTGCTCCCTTCTCAACTTTCAAAAAAATTCATCATTTCATTAGGCAACATTAGTTTACAACACTGCCTAGGATGCAGGGCACCCGGGTCACACCTCACCAGATGCCTGTCAGCTCACCATCCTCACCACCCAAACATCCAGAGTCCTTTGTCTTTTCTGCTCTTATGCCTCGGCTGTGTACCCCAGGGGAGGGATGGGACCCCCCCTATACGGTGCAGCGCCAGCAGCAAGTGTGTGAGAGACACGGGACGTGGTGGGGCCAGGACCCATGCATGATGTGAGCCCTGGAATGTCAGGGATGCCCTGTGTCTGCCAGAAGCCCAAGGCAAGAAGTGGTTTCTAGAAAAAGCCCAGAGGGATTGGGTGCCCAGCTATGGGGGTAAATGAGGTTCTTCGGCAGGAATGTTGGGGTGAGCCCATTGAAGGGAATAGAAGACCCACGGAAACCCAACCTAGGGTATTTCTATGTGCTCACATGCGTGAAAAAAGACTCAGGAACCGTCTAGACTGCATCGATCAGACCCAAGACAGGGAGCTGAGAATTGGCCGTCCCTGGGCGCAGGTGGCTGTGGGCTGAAGTGTCCGGGGGTGGCTGGGGTTGGTGAGACTCAGGAGAGGACAAACCTGCAGGAATATTTCGCGGCGTGTCCTGGGACGCCTCAGCGTGGGGGCGCAGCCTGGGCTGTCCCCATCCTCGGCGGCAGCAGCGGGGTGAGCCACACAGACACCCCACGAGGCTTGGGGGAAGAAAAGCCCGCGCTTGCCACGCTTACTTGTTGGACCAGCGAGATCAGGCACTCTGATCACAACTCAGAATTCTCTAGAAGCCCAGGTTCCTGTCCCAGCCGGTACGCGCCCCCAAAGCCACCATCCCCCTGAGCTCCTGGAGACGGTTAATGGTTAACAATCTTTAAGGACGTTCTTACCTGAGAACTTTACAAAGTTCATTCATTCAGTTCTGGTGACGTCCTATGAGATGGGGCCTATTACCAGGACTTCCATGTGCCGATAAGGACGCTGGGGCAGAGGGGCCACATGATGCCATGCGCAAGAGGGCACACCACGATAAGAGCCCCGCGGCAGCATGCTAACAGAGTATACAGGTGGCGCTCAATAAAGACAGCTGTGCTTAAATCTGGTATCCCTGCCTGAGTCACAACCCTGAAGGACATGGCCGCCTCCACTCTCCCCATCTCAGGCTGGATATGGCTGTGTATACAGCCGGAGAGCACTAAGTGCTCTACCGCTCTCTAACGTTGCCGCCACGGGGTGTGGACCCCACCAGGAGGGGTGGAGGCCAGGATGAAATTTTGACATGCGTTAGACCAAGGGAGGGATGACAGACGTTGAGTGCCTGCTGTATACCGGGACCTGGAGCTGAGGGCCATCGCGCTGCAAAGATGTGGGGGGCCACAGGCCAGTGTTTGCTTCCTGAAGGGAGCCCAGGAGCAAGCCACCCTCCAGCCGGCCCCGGCTCCGGATGTCCCCAGGTGCCCTCGCTCGCATGGGCCTGCACATTGGATCGGTTGGCTCCCTCCCCTGAGGGTTCAGGGCCAGGAGAACGTTGCTTCTTGCAACAGCCTTGGCTAAGAAGGCCGTTGGAGCTGGAGCATCCTGGGGGACGCAGGAAGAGGAACAGGGTCATGGGATTGGGGGCTGGGCCCTGGGGGCCCATCGCCCGTGTGTGGCTTGAGTCCTTCCACAGCTCCAGGTGGAAGCTCTCAAGCTGGGGTGGAGAGCCATGTGCAGCCTCCCGGCCTGGGCAGAAATGCCTTCTCCAGCACCCCACCACTTCGCCGGCCAGGCCACGGCCTCAGGCCGGAAGGGGGATCAGGGAGGGCGGAGGCGGGCTTCTTTCCCAGACTGCTGGTGACCAGGCGCTGATTGGGCCCTGGCGGGGGGCGAGTTCCCTGTATTGAGCAACAACCGAAGAGAGGTTGGAAGGCCGGGCCCTGAAGGGGGGACCGAGGCCCTGGGGCTGTGAACCTTGGGGTCTGGGTGTAGACCTCAGCTCTCCCGTGCCAGGGGCTGGTCACTCTGCCTCAGTTTCCACCTCTCCAGTGGGGACCCAGCACCCCACCGCCCCCGTGAAATGTCAGCAGAGCCCAGGGGGCGGCCACTAACGGCCCCTGAGTAGAGTGAGGCGCCAGGGGGGCCACCCGTGAGGCCAGGGCTGCCGGATTGAGCAGAAACACCAGACGCCCAGTTAAACCCAGTGTCAGCGGCCGCGGCTGACGTGGAGAGCGGGCACGGCCCTGCGAGGACTGTTCTCGTGGCGTTCAGACTCAGCCGGTGCCCCGAACCTTACCCGGGAACCCCGCCTGAACCACCCCCAGCCCCTGCACATCCCCATCCCGTTCTCCCCACCCCCACATCCCAGAGTGGTGCGAGGGGAAGTTGGGGCGCCCAGGCCAGGCGTGGGGCAACCGACCCCAACGGCCTCCAGCGCGGGGCCTATAAGAGGGCCAGGCGGGCCGGCGGCAGACCCGGGAGCCCGCACCTGACCATGCCCCGCGACCCGCGACCCCGCAGCCCCGCGCTGGCGCCCCTCCTGCTGGCCGCGCTGCTGGCCGGTGAGTGGGGCCACGTCTGTCCGCGGCGTTTCTGCCTCTCGGCTCCCCGCCGCCCGCGCCCGCTGGCGCTGGTGAGATGAGGCCGCCGGGCCGTCTCAGGGGACAAGACTGAGGTTCTGCGTGGAGCCCATGGGGGGTTGGCAAGGGGGGGCGGCGCGCTCTAGCTGTGCCCCGGCCCCGCTGCCCTCTGGGCTTCAGCTGCCTGCTCTGCCTCCCCCCACGCGGCCGGGGCGGCTGGCCAGTTGGGTGGGGCTCACCACCGCCCGCTGCCTGTTTCCCCAGGCCCTGTGCTGGCCTCGGAGATCGTGGGAGGCCAGCCGGCCCGGCCCCACGCGTGGCCCTTCATGGTGTCCCTGCAGCGGCGCGGAGTCCACTTCTGTGGGGCCACCCTGATCGCCCCGAACTTTGTCATGTCGGCTGCGCACTGCGTGAATGACTTGTGAGTCACCACTTCTCAGTTTCACGTCTGCCCAGGGAGCTCAGAGGCCCAGTTCCACCTGGGGGGCCTGTCCCGTGCCTCCCTGTCAGCGCACACCTCCCATAGGCCCAGGGGCTCAGGGAAAGGCTCTGGGGTTCCCCTCCTCTCCACGGCCTCAGGCCACCTTGACTCACCTGTACCCTCCCTCGCCCACAGTAACTTCCGGTCGGTGCAGGTGGTGCTGGGGGCACATAACCTGGCACGGAGTGAGCGCACCCGGCAGACGTTTGCTGTCCAGAGGATCTTTGAAAATGGCTTTGACCCAAACAACCTGCGGAATGACATCGTGATTCTCCAGGTGCCGGGCAGGGCAGGGTGGGGAGGGGCAGGGATGCCCAGCAGGGAGCCGGCAGGGGCAAAGGCCCTGGGGCCGGAGGCTGGGAGAGGGCAGGCAGGGTCAAACATTAAGGAACAGAGTGGGGTAGGCCTGGGGTGGAATCCCAGCTCCAACTGGGTCCGTGGTCTCCCCGTGCCACCTCCACCTCTCTAGAATAGGAACGTGACCTTTCCTGGCAGGGCTGCTGAGAGGGTAACCGGTGTAGGGAAGGCCTGAGCAGTTGCTGATCAACAAACCGCCGCTATTTGTACCCTGCTACTCAGCCCCATGGCTGAGGACAGGCACGACCCCTCTTTGTGAAATGGGGCAACAATTGATGGGAGACTCCAGGGAGAAGGCCTCTCTCCCCTACTGCTTGCAAATTATGATTATTCTCTGGGAATGTTCTAGAGTGAGAGTTTTATTGTCATCAGTGTTGCCCATCATTTGTTTTCTTGAGTAACTACTGCTTCCTGGCTTCCTGGCCTCACAACATATCCAGCAAGGTCCCTTCCTGGTCACTGAGGTCCCTTCCACTGTACAGATGGGGAAACTGAGGCTCAGGGTAGCAGCTTCTTGCAGGACGGGTATCCTACTCCGCAAGGTCCCAGAACCATGGCGAAACTTCACACAGGGGAACTGAGGCCCAGAGAAGGGAGGTTTATTGCCCACTGACCCGTGTGACACTCTGTGCTCCATCCCACCCATCGCAGCTCAATGGGTCGGCCACCATCAATGCCAACGTGCAGGTAGCCCGGCTGCCTGCCCAGGGCCGCCAAGTGGGTGCTGGAACACAGTGCCTGGCCATGGGCTGGGGTCAACTGGGCACAAACCGGCCACCACCCAGAGTCCTGCAGCAGCTGAACGTGACTGTGGTGACTGCCCTCTGCCGCACCTCCAATGTGTGCACCCTGGTACCACGCCGGAAGGCTGGCATCTGCTTTGTACGTATCCTCCACCCCTGGGCCCCACCCAATCCCTGCCCATCCTGCAGGAATCAGGACTGAGGCTAGACCCCAGGAAGGGAGTGGAGGGACCTGGAAACCCAGCCTCTGACAACGTCTGCTCCACAGGGGGACTCCGGAGGGCCCCTGGTCTGCAATGGGCTGATCCATGGAATCGACTCCTTCATCCGGGGAAGCTGTGGCTCTGGGGTGTTTCCGGATGCCTTTGCTCCTGTTGCACAGTATGCAAACTGGATCCAGTCTGTCATTGGCCGCCGTGACGACCGCCCCACCTTCCGCCCTAGGGACCCTGTAAGCAGGAGGCTCTAATAAGGGCTGCCCTTGTTTCCCTACCTCACCTACCCTTGGTTGGGCCCTTCCAACGCTGCTTCGTTGGGCACCTTCCACAGTAAAAACAAAAACTAAAACTAAAAACAAACCCTTTCTGTAATAGAATGCGTGTGTGTGTGCACGCGTGTTTGCGCGTGCACTCGCGGTTGGAAGAAGTCTGAGGTGCCTTGGAAGCTTGGGCCGCTCAGCGGACACCGCCACCAGGTGGCAGCAAAGCTCAGGCATTGGGGTAAAAGTACTTGGCAACCCACACCGCGCAGCAGACCCTTCCTGTGTCCCCGCCGCTCCCCTCAGCAGTGTGTTTCAGTCCACCCACCTGGTCTGCTCCCCACTCTGTCTCTGGTGAATCCTTCACCGCCCCCCGCGCACTGCGCCTCTCGCCTGTACCCCAGTTCTTGTATGCATAATAAAGAAATTTTTTTTTTTTTAAAAAGTGCTTTGCCTGCCCTCCACAAAACCTGTCCGTGATCCCGTCTGCCTTCCCTCCTGTGAGACCCTCTTTCCCTTGATTAGTGTTGGGGGCGGGGCACAAAGTCTCTAACAGGTGTTTACTGGGTGTTGGAAGACACAGGATATTCCAAGTCTTTGCAAGTGTTCAGCCGTCTGAACACTACTTCAGCTAGTGACGTAGGTCCTGTTTGTGTCCCCCCTTTATTGATGAGGAAGTTGGGGTGCAGAGAGGCATGAAGCTGTGCTGGGGAGACTGGGTATGAGGCGTTCCAGGCCTGGATTCAAGTCCAGCTCTGAACTTCAGTTCCCCCTAGGGAGGAGGCGGGGGGCCAGCAGGGGTTGGGTGCCAGTCCCACCTCAGCCTCACGGGGTGACAAAGGTGAGCCCCCCCAGGTTTTTGTTCTGGCTGGGGGCACGGGATGCATAGCAGACCTTTCCCAAGGAGCCAGCCAATCTGGAGGGAAACCACGGCCTGGGGAGGCAACCCCTGGACCCCTCCTCTGCCTTCCTGGGCCTGGGCAGGAGGTTCTGGGGCACAGGCGGGGCCAGGGCAGATACAGCTCCTTGAGGGGGAACAACCACCCAGAGAAGCAAGTGACTGCGGCACAGCATCTTGCGGTGCCCACCACCGCCCACTGCGCCTGTCCTTCTCTGTTCCCTGGCCTCAAGTCGCCTCCCAGCTAGGTCCCCTCAGGTCTCTGCCGTCGTGTCCCCGGAGAGGCCTGCCCGCCCTGCCAGCCCGTGTGAGTCCCGGCAGCTCCTCTGGTCGCACCACCTCTGGCGCCTCGGGCTCAGAGAGGCCACAGCTGCCCACAGCCACCCTTTCCACCTAACGCTGGACCCTGACAGCCTTTTCCTGTTAAAACCGCATCTGGGAATGATCAGGGTTATTGCCCTGGACGCTTTCCAAATTTTGTTGCAATTTTGAAGACTCATCGTTACATCTGGATTCGTGTCCTAATGGGCTTATGTTCTGAGTTTCTGATTTCAATTAGGAAACATGTTAGGATATAACAAGTCACATTTGTTATTTGCTCTCATTCTCCCTACACCGTTCTTACCAGGGACACCTCATCTTTTAGGCCCACCTCCTTCTCCACATGGGCTCCTGAGATACTGACCCCCCCCCATCCCCACCTTACAGAGGGACATGTGTCCCAGATCTGCTCAGCAGAACTTGCTGTCTCCTGACCAAAGTGATTTTTTTAAAAGATTTATTTATGCATACAAAAACGGGGGTGTAGGTCAGAGGTGCGGGGGCAGGGGAGGTGAGAGGATTCACCAGAGGCAGAGTGGGGAGCAGAACAGTTGGACTGACTGAAATCCACTGCTGAGGGGAGCAGCGGGGAGACAGGAGGGGTCTGCCGCGCCATGTGGGTAGCTCCCTGGCCAGGGGTCAAACTTGTGCCGCAGTGGCTGGCGACAGTTTGGTAGCACTGAGGCTTTAACTGCTGCACCACCAGAGAGGCCCCAAAGTGATTGGTTTTGGAGGGGGCATGTGATCCAGTCAGTCACAGGCAGCCTTGAGAAGCTGCAGTAACAGAAGATTTGGGGAGGGGTCCACCATGAGACACTGGACTGAGTCTGGGGTCCCTGGGACCGTGATAGTGGAGCCCAGTGAGGAGAAAAGCCATCAAGGAGGAGAGGAAAATCCAGAGACAGAGAGCTGACATTGCTCATGTGCCTGGATCAAGCCACACCTGAGGGCAGCCCCCGAGCTCTCCTCTTCAGCGTCCTTGATGAAGTGTCCCTCCGGCCTGACGCTCCTTCTCTGTCACGTGAACCCAGTATTCTTTCCTGCGGCCCCGCACCACCGTGCCACACCCCAACACTCTACTTGTTTGGTGTTTCAGGCTCGGGGAGGTCTTGGGTGACCTTCCCCTGACTCCTCTCACCCCTCTCTCCAGTTTGCAGGGGGAAGGGAGAGACGGAAGGAGCAGACAAATGGGGAAGTCAATTGTTTACAAACTGGTTCCAGCTGGTGTTGAGCAACTTTAGGGCTAGAAGGGTGTTCCGGGGACCGGGCCAGGGGAGGGGGCTGGGTGTTGGGTCCAGTCCTCCATGCAGCCTCCTGCTCATTGAGGGTCTCCTCCTCACGTGGGAGGCAGGGGCACGGCAGCAGTTTGCCTGATGTTGGTGCCAAGTCCCGTGTCCCCCCCCCCCCCCCCCGTGGGGAGGGTGGAGGCAGCGCAGGCAGGCTCCCCTTTCCCCAGCTGGACCGCTGCCCACTGGCAGAGAGCGCATGTGGGAGTTGCCCGCCCCCCTCCACCCACATAAAAGCACTCCCAGCTCCCCGCTTGTGTCTGTGTCGGGGCCACAGAGGCATCATGGCGAACTGCGTGTTGCATGTAGCGGCGCTGGTCCTCCTAAGCGCTGCCACATGCGGTGAGTGGGTCTGCAGTTGTGGCGACAGCTGGGGCTCCAGCCTGCAGGGCCCCTGGGCCCAACAGAACTGTAGGAAGCCCCACTGGGTGGGCAGAGTGGGGCAGGGCCATGGAATGGAAGGTTCTGAAAAGTCAAGGAATTCATTTTTTAAAAAGATTATTTGATTTTTTTTTTAAAAAAGATTTATTTATACAAGCACCGGGTACAGTCAGAAGCGCGGGAGGGTGAGAGGATTCACCAGAGACAAGCGGAGAGCAGAACAGACAGACTGACGAAGTACACTGCTGAGGGGAGCAGCGGGCGGCAGGAGAGGTCTGCGCGCCATGTGGGACCCTCGCCCGGCAGCCGGGGATGGAACCGGCACTGCAGAGGCTACGGGCAACTTTGCAACCCAGCGCTCAACCGCTGCGCAACTGGGGAGGCCCAAGATTATTTGATTTATTTATGCATACAAGAGCTGGGGTGCAGGCCATGGGTGGGAGTGGGGTTAAGAGGATTCATCAGAGACAGAGTGGGGGGCAGAGCAGGTGGACTGAATGAATACACCGCTGAGGGGAGGGGCGGGGAGTCAGCAGAGGTCTGCTGTGCCATGTGGGTAGCTCCCTGGCCAGGATCAAACTCAGGCTGCAGTGGCTGGGGATGGCTTGGTAGTGCTGAGACTTAACCCCTGCACCACCAGGGAGGCCCCAGTCAAGGAATTCTTAAGGCTATGAATCTGAAACCTGGCTTTTGAGTCTGAGTCTTCTCCACAGTGAGAATCTGAATTTCCCACAGAGGAAAACTGGCAGCTGGTGGGGCAAAGGCTGGCGGGAACTTTTGGTTGGGGCAGTCGGAGTTTTCTTGTTTAATCTGAAGTGTTTAGCACAGCCTGTGGGGATGGAATTTGATCCAGGCCCCAGCACCCTCGGCCTCCGGGGGTCTCCTCTCTGGCACTGCGGGAGTTTGCTCCTCTGGGGTTGGGGAGGATTCCAAGGATGGAATTCTGGGGCTGGGGGGGCCGAGCAGCCTGCGGGAGGGGTGAAGGCGGCGCGCAGTCCTCCCTGAAGCCCCCACCTCTGCCCGCAGCGGCACAGCCCCGGGGCCGCATCCTGGGCGGCCGAGAGGCGCCGTCCCACGCGCGGCCCTACATGGCCTCGGTGCAGCTGGACGGCCGGCACGTGTGCGGAGGCTTCCTGGTGTCGGAGCGGTGGGTGCTGAGCGCCGCGCACTGCCTGGAAGACATGTGAGCGCGGGGCGCGGGGCGCGGGGCGCGGGGGCAGGGACGGGTGGGGCTGGGGCGCGGCGCTGACGAGGACCCACCCCGCTTCCAGGGCGGAAGGGAAGGTGCAGGTGCTCCTGGGCGCGCACTCGCTGTCGCAGCCCGAGCCGTCCAAGCGCCTGTACGACGTGCTTCGCGCAGTGCCGCACCCCGACAGCCGGCCCGACTCCACGGACCACGACCTCCTCCTGCTGCAGGTTGGCGAGTCCGGCCCCGGCCCCTCCCGCTGCGCTGAGGGCTCTGCCCCGACGCGCGCAGCCCCCAGCCCTGGCCCCCAGCCCTCACCCCGCCCCAGCCCAGCCGTAGTCCCCGCGGGGGCCCCGCCCCGACGCGCATCTCTCGCTCCTCGCGCCCATGGCAGCCGCTGCCCCTCCTGCTGCGCGTGCCCCGCCCCGCGCCCCTCGCCTGACGCCTGACGCCCCAACCCGCCCGCCCGCAGCTGTCTGAGCAGGCGGCGCTGGGCCCCGCCGTGCAGCCCCTGGCCTGGCAGCGCGAGGACCGCGACGTGCCCGCCGGCTCGCTCTGCGACGTGGCGGGCTGGGGCGTGGTGAGCCACGCGGGCCGCCGGCCCGACCGCCTGCAGCACTTGGCGCTACGGGTGCTCGACCGCGCCGTCTGCAACCAGCGCGCGTTCCACGACGGCGCCATCACCGAGCGCATGATGTGCGGAGAGAGCAACCGCCGCGACAGCTGCAGGGTGAGGGGCTCGGCGGGCGGGGCCCCGGGGGGCCGGGGCGGGGTCCCGGGGGCGGGGGGCCTGGACGGGGCGGGGAGGGGCCGGGCGGGGCCCAGCGAGTGGGCGCTCACGGCCCCGCCCCCCGCGCAGGGCGACTCCGGCGGGCCCCTGGTGTGCGCGGGCGTGGCGGAGGCCGTGGTCAGCTCCGGCGCGCGCGTCTGCGGCAACCCCAAGAAGCCCGGCATCTACACGCGCCTGGCGAGCTACGCGGCCTGGATCGACGGCGTGATGGCCGAGGGCCCGCGCGCCTGAGCCCGCGGGTGGCGGCGCAAGTCCCAAGCCCCAAGCCCCGGCAATAAAGTCCCCAGCCCGCGGCATCCAGCCCCGCCTGCGCCAGCTTTTCTCGAGCGGGGTGCGTGCGGGAGGCGGGGGGAGCCCGGGCGGGTGGGGAGGCGGGCTGGTCGCCGTCGGAAGGGCGGGGGCCCGTGGGCGCCCTCGAACCGCGCGGGGGCCGCCGCACGTCGCTCGGCCACACGGCGGCGCCCTCGCTCTTCCCCGGAGCCAGAGGCGCCCGCAGAACCCAAGGGCCCCTCGGCGCGGCCGCGCTCCAGCCGCTGCCCCAGCAAACCGGAGGCCCTTCCCTGCGCGGGGTCCTGCCCCGGACGGAGACCTCGGCACACGGAGATCTCCCGAGGCCGAGCTCTTTGCTCCCCTGGCGTCCCCGGGGGCAAACTAGGCGCAGAGAAACCCTTGGACTTTTTTTTTTTTTAAGATTGATGCATATATTTTTTAAGATTGATGCATAGTCACGGGGGTGCAGGCCAGAGGCGCACCAGAGCATTCCCCAGAGACAGAGTGGGGAGCAGAACAGGTGGATTCACTGAAATCCACTGCTGAGGGGAGCAGCGGGGAGACAGGAGAGGCCTGCTGCGCCATGTGGGTAGCTCCCTGGCCGGGGACTGAACTCATGCTGCAGAGGTCCCGAAACCCTTGGACTCTTCTTTATTTTTGAATATATTTTTTACATTATTGTTCATTTTTCAACGTTTGCTTTCCCCACCCTACCCCCCACTCCACCCTTGGACTCTCTTAAGGTCACACAGTTGTTCTTGGGCAAAGCCTAGATTTGAAGCCAGGGCCCCCTACCTGCGTTCACAGGCATCCCCAGTGCTGTGAGGTTCACAGAATGAGGTCTGCAGGTGTCCTGGACCCACCGCACCGGCTGGGGCACAGGTGACACACTGCCCCCCTGGATCTGCTTACCTCCTGGGCAATGAGGAGGGAGGTGACAAAGGACAAAACTCAGCCCCAAGACCCTGAGGCTGTTCTACTGAGTGGAAGGGGAGCCGTTGACACCCAACCCCTACCAGCAACCCCCGCACCCCCACCAGCTCAAGCCCAGGCTACAGAGGGTTCTAGTAAATCTGAGAGGTGAGGTCTAGCGCCCCAGTGGGCACTGGAGAGTTGGCACTAGACCCTGCACTGGCCTTTACTATGGTGCGTTCACCTTGGAGCCACACTAAGCATCCCCTGGTCACTGCACACAGCGCAAGAGCACCAGGCGCCCTCAGCTGCCGTGGGCAGGTCAGCGCTGCACACAGTTAAAGGAGGGAAACTTAACTGCTGGCCACTCAGCCATCCGAGACACTCATTCGCTAGCTACTTCCTGAATGGAGGGAGAACGCCAGGGGTGGCATGGACGACGCCAGGTGCAGACAGATGACCAGATTTAGCAAACAAAAAAACAGACGTCCAGTAAATGGGAATTTCAGAAAAATACTTTTTATAAGTATCTCCAATGTGCTGTTTGGGAGACTTATAATGAAAACGTGTTCCTTGCGCATCGGAAATGCAAATGTCCCGGGCACTCTGCAGCTCACCTGGCTGCACGGTGGGCCCCAGGTGGAAGTGCCTGCCAGGGATGGAGTCTGTGGGCAACAGGAGGGAGATGCATCCTGAGCCTGAGCCATGCGAGCCTCAGCCGCCTGCAGTGTTCTTGTTTCTCGTCTCTCCGTGGGGCGCACGCAGCCCTGGCTGTACGGGGCCATGAGATCCCAGGGCACCTGGGATATGCTGCCTGAGAACTGGCCCCACTCCTGAGCAGGAGCACTCCAAGTGCCCCAGGGGCAGGAACTCGAGATGCACTGACAGCCGAGGTTGGGGGCGGGGGAACATCACTACCCACAACCCTTCCAACCACTCCAACAGGGCCCCCCAGCAAGACCACCACCCCAGACTGCCAGGGTGCGCCCCATGCCTGAGGACAGCCAGGCACTTCTGTGCCTAGGCTTGTCACAATTTAAGGCATGTTCTGGCAATCCCCATGTAACCAACCACTGAGAACTTAGTTGTGTAAAACCACCCTGGGGACCACTGAGCTCTGCTTCTGTGGTCGGGACCAGAGTGCACAGGGAGCCAGGGAGCTCGTCTCCTGGCCACCACATCTCCTGTTGGGGACCACGCACTGGAGCCACCAGAAGTGCCTGATGCGCGCTGGGCTAAGCTGGCAGCTCCCCAGCTGAGTGCCGGCCCGTGGCTGCCCCACATGCCCTGGGCTTCCCGTGGCACGGCTGCCCAGGCTCCCAGATGCAGGCCAGGGCAGTTTCCCGCCAATCTCGGAGGTCACAGCATCACCTCCCTGCCCAGGACCATCAGTACAAGCAGGAGCCACCCAGGTTCAAGCAGCAGCAAAGAGCAGCGCCCAAGACTCGGCGTCTGCTGTGAGACCGCTGCAAGATAACCAGCCCCACGCATGGGCAGCAGAGTTACGGGAAGGCCCAGAGAAACTGACCTCCACGGAGGAAAGGCCTGGTGCCTACCCCTGCCCCCAAACTGCCCGGGAACCCGTTCCTGCAATCTTAGCAGCAGCGCTTTGCACGGACAGGCTCCTTGGCTGGCGCGACGGCCTGACCCACTGCGCAGCAGCCAGCCGCCTGGGAGGCAGCCGCGTCTGTTCACTAAGCGGTGGGCAGCAGCGGGTCCATCTCAGGGAGGGGCGGGGGCAGGCTGCAGCTAGCTCCCCCAGCCTCCTGTGCTGGCCCAGCGCCGCAAGTCCCCGCAGAGGGTGCCGGCGGGGGGACCTGTTCAAGTGTTGTGCCAGGCAGGTGGGCTTCACACGCAGCCCCTGGTCCAGGTAATGGGGCTCCCCAGGTGCCCATCATCCCCCTAAAAGCCCAGGAAGCTCATGTCCAGTGGTATCTCGGCGGGAGCCCAGCCACACAGCCATTTACTTCCTGCAGGGTTCCCACAGAAGCCGGCCTCCCCAGAGCCTTCCAGAGGGAAGACAGAACCAATTTCCACTTAGCAGGCAAGCGCTGTCTAGAGGCCCGCAGGGGGCAGGTCATAATCGCCAGAGGTGGCTGGCAGCAGAAGGCACGATGCCTGGGGGGCGCGGGACCTGAGCAGTGCAGGAAGGGGCCCGGAGGAGGCAGCCCGCCCGCTGCAGAAGCCCGCCCCTCCCGGTGAACAAGGCAGGCAGGGTGCCCCTCCCCTGCCCAGCCGGTTCCCAGCGGCGGACCATGTGCCCAGGAACACGGAAACACCCCAACTGTGGGGTGGAGAACAGGGAGTGGGACGGCATGGGGTCTGGGGGGGCTTCATGATGCTCACACGAGGTCTGTGACTCCCAGGGTGTTTATTGGGCCTGCGGAGCCACCTGGATACGTGTGTGTCGCCTGAGAGCCCCACTGCAAGGACAGATCCCCGGGCTGCGCGCTCTAGACTGGGGCCTGAGGCATCTGGAGGGGCCCCTGGGAGTCCCTAAAGGGCAGTGCAAGGGCCGTGGCCCGGCCTGAAGAGGCGAGGCCCACCTCCTGGGGTCGCCATCAGGCGCCGAGGGAGAGCATTGCTCTCTGGGCCGTTGCTACCCCACCGAGGCTTCTGGCAGCTCCGTGCCTGCTTGTCCAGTTACGGTGATGCCAGTCTTGGTAGACGAAGCCCGGAGAGGCTAGGCTGCTTTATGCCAGTCCACGGAAGGTCTGGAGTGTGGAATGCTGTCCCCAGTGCAGGATCTGCCGACAGGCCTGGCCCCGTCAGGGATAGCTGAGGGGCACCCGCCTCCAAAGTCCCCCGCACAGGCAGTTCTTGATCCAGCGTTGCTCCCACTGCTTGATGGCCGTCGTCTTGTTGGGTGACTTGAGCATGGTGACGCAGCCACACCTGCAGCGTCAGGGGGTGCTAACGGGACTGCCCTCCACCGGCCAGGCCCTCCTGTCCCAGGCCTCCCCCAAGACAGCTCCTCCACACTCAGGCACCACCTGCTTCAAGCTGCTCCCCCATACTCGCCAGGCACCCCTGCCCCAGGTCTGCTCTCTCACTCGCATGTCCTCACTGCCCCAGGGGCTCAAGGCACAGGCTGTCCTGGCCCCCTCCCTGCACCCTTCCCTCCTGGCTCAGGCGTGCTGGGGGTGGAGCTCCACTCAGGGGTGCCTGCGTCCAGGTATCCCGCAGCATCTGGGTCATACCGCAAAGTGCAGCACAGGGCGCAGCCTTTCCTGCATGTTCACCCTGCCCCTGCCCAGCGTCGACGCTGCCAGGCCAGACACTTGGGACCAGAGGCGGCCGCAGCCCTCGTAGAAGCACGCTCGTGACCACCGGGCAGCCGGCAGGCAGGACTCACGAGACCCCCAACCCCCCATCCGCAGGTGGGAAACAGAAGCTGGGGGGTGGCAGTCAGGGGCGGGGCGGGCGGGCGCTCACCTGGTGCAGGCTTTGCACTCCTCTGTGGGGTGGGCTCCCAGGTGCAGCCTCCGCAGGTGGTCGATCTTGGGTTGGCCCAGTGCCCTGCAGACAAGAGGAGTGCGTGAGGCCTGGAACCCGCGCACACGTAACAGCCGCACGTACGCTGGGACAGAGCCGTCTCCAAGGTGCAGTGTATGACACTCGTGATGGAAAAGGGTGTGTGCACGCGTGTGCAGTCCCACACACCCGCCGCCACAGGCACACCCAACCCTAGGGCGCGGAGTCCCTGGGAAGACATCTGAGACCTGGCAGGAGAAGCTGCCCCTGGGGCGCGCTGGCACAGCAGGGGGCGCGATGCCGCGACCATCCCATTAAATGCGGTCAGAAGCTGCAAAAGCAAAGAACTTAAAGACTCATCTATGGCCAGACTCCCCTTTTCTGAAACCCAAACCCCAACCAAAACCTGGCTCACCAGGCAGTTCTTCCCACCACAATGAGAAAGATGCGGGAAGGTCAAGGCGCTGCTGGGTCAGCTCGCTGGAGGTGGGACGCAGGGAGGAAGGCACCCCCGCTCCTGCACCCTGCGCCTATCTGGGCGGTTCCTCCTGGCTATGTGGGTGAGTGACCCACACTTTCCTGAGCTACGGTTTACTCACCTATAAAACCCCAGCCCCTGGTGCTGCCAGACACTGGGGTAACTCCACACCCACCCACTCCCCAAAAAGATGACCTGACTAGCTCCAGGTCTCCCATGGACCCTGCAGTGCACTTCAGTTCCCTGGGACCTGGGGTCACGAGTCACATGTACCAGCCTCGCCTCAGAGGGCTGGAGACCAAGTCACCGGGGCCAGCCTCGAGGGCACTCCGTGTGGAGAGGCGGGGTACAAGTGACCAGGGCATGAATCACAAGCTGACCTGACAGGAGGGGGGCGTGCAGGGCACTAGGAGCCGAGGTCAGTGGTGAGTCAGGAAGCAGCAGACACAGGATGTGCAGAAGTCCTGAAGCAGGGGTAACTGGCAGGAGTCAGGTAGGCTCTGGGGAGGACCTTCTAGAAAGGAGCAACAGGTGGCAAGACCTGGAGCAGGAACAGGCACGCACCTGACGAGGCCATCCAGCTGCAAAGTGGTGGTGCTGCCGGGCAGAGATGGAGCTTTACCAAAATGCAGGCGCAGGGGCTGCTTGGGCTGTAGGCGGCTGACCAGGCCATCGCTTACGGGTAGCCAGTCCAAGCTGGGGATGAGCAGCTGACTGGGCAGCAGGCAGCACTCGTCCACCAACGCCTCATCTGGCTCACTGGTGGGCCCCTCGTCACGGCCTGCGGGGAGAGCGCGTCAGCGGCCCTGCCTGCGCACCGCCCACCTAGCTCCCGCAAGGACTTCCTGGAGGTCACAGAGCACCGGGCTCAGGCCCCTGACCTCTGGGGTGGGCCTGGGAGTTCCTGTCCCCTCTGCCCCAGTCTCTTCTATAAAAAAAAAGGCCCACTCTTTTATTTAGAAAATACCCAGTGAGCATCTGATCGCCAGAGTCTGGTCAGCCACAGGTAGACAATCTCGGTACACGAGACAAGCAGACAGTGCCTGGCCGCCGCCCCTGTAGCACAGGCCCCACGCCATGCCTGACCCGTGCTGGGTGCTGCGGGAACAGCAGGGACCAACAGAGCGGGCTCACCTGCCAGGGCGTATAATCTCGTGGGGGGGCCTCACTTGTATTTTGGGAGGGAATGGGAGCAGAGGGCCCCATAACTTACAGCAGATCCACAGCTTGGTGAGCAGGCGGAAGAGCAGGGACATGCTGTCCTGGGTGTCCGAGGTGGCCGTGTACACAGGCAGGCAGCTGGGCTTCAGCAGGCCCCAGATGCGGATGACGACCATCAGCTCCCGCAGCATGCCCAGGGAGGTGCCATCCCGCAGGAAGCTGTGGCCTGGCCGCAGTGGGGAGCCCTGGGGGGAGGCACTTGGGTTGTGTATCTCAACATGTGCAGCATCTCAGTTCTCAGCAGGTCCTGCCGGGCGTGGGGGACCGCTGGGAGGGGTGGCGGTGCGCACCTGGTTGGGCAAGCTGGCCAGCAGGTAGAGCACAAAGTCGCCCACCCACTGCAAGAGCTGCTGGAGTGCCTGCAGGGTGCTCATGTCCAGGACAAATTCTTCTGTCTTGAGGTTGATCATGACCTTGTCAATATCTGGAAAGAGAGAGCGGTTAGGAGCCCGGGACCTCACAGTGCACACACATGCCACACGGGCCAACACACCTCTGTGACCCCTCAGTGCCTACTGAGTGCCTACTCAGTGCCTGCTGAGCAGACCCTAGGCCCTGGGCCCTGGAGGGCTGACACAGACACTGAAAATAAGCCAGTGGGGTGACCTTGAAGGAAAGAGCTGGACCCAGCACCCTGGGACTGTGCAGTGGGTCCCCCTCGGCTCAGAGCATGTGGGGCATGGACTCCACCAATCTGGACACAGCCCTTCGCACTTAAAGGAAAGCTAGGTCTAGAGAACTGGGGTGTCTAGTGCCTGTGGGCCACCTGCGCGTACACCCTTAGCTCCCCTCGCGCCCCCCGCTCTGCAAAGGCAATTCCTCCTCCTGGGATGCCGTCACCCAGGCACAGCCCCATAGCGAGCGAAGGCTCTGAGAGCCAGATGTTTCTGCCTCCTCAGCCCTCATGCCTGCACTCACAGGACACCAGTGCCAGCTCCATGGGAACCCCACCTGGCACCCAGAAGACACCACGCACACTCCTACGACAGGGGAGGACGGTCCTACACCAAGTCACGCAGTTCTCACTCTCGGGAGGGCTGTGTAGTCACGCGCAGACAACACTTGACCCGTGAGGCGTAGGGTGGCTGAGGGGGCCGGACTCACCGACGTCAGTGATCTTGGCACAGATCTCGGTCAGTCGGTCGCCAGGGCTCTTGTCGGGCGTGTTGAGGAAGTGTGGGCGCAGCAGCGACTTGAGCGTGGAGCTGATGGCGATGAGGAAGAGCTTGGCGTGGTAGTCACACACCCGGGTCACCGTGCAGGGCGACAGCTTGCAGAGCGAGGCCTTCATGGCCAGGATGCGGGTAGAGAGGACCTGCAGCAGGAGGACCAGTCAGGCAAGCCGGTCCAAGCTGCCTGACCTCGCTGGCCTTCTTATGGCTCAGAGGGGTGAGAGCCCATTTCGCAGGCGGGCAAGGTCCCAACGTGGGCGGCAGGGCAGGTGCTCCTGCCACGGGGTGGGGGTCACAGATGCTGTTGTGCCCAGGATAACCCCCGCCAGAGACGGTCTGGTCCTGATGTCAGTGGTGCTGGGGAGACCCTGACCTCAGGGCCCACGCGAGGACTAAAGCATACGGTGCATGCACAGAGCTGGCGTCTGAGACACGAGTCTCCTGTTGCTGGGGATACCAGTGGTGCGGCCCGCTCCGCCCGGCCTGTGCTCCAGCACTCTAAAAACGCCTCACACCGTCCCGGCGGCTGCAGTGCGCAGGGCCTGGCTTCCTGTCTGTTTTCTCGGCGGCGGTGCTGGCGGAGGCCAGGCAGCATGGGCTTTTCGGTGTGTGATCTCCCACAGTCACCTTGCCGGACTGCTTAGCTTTAAAGACCCTCAAAAAGGCTGGTTTTCTAGGGGCACAACCGCCTCACCTACACACTCATTTTTCTCTTCCGTCCCCCTGACCTCTCACTCCTGACCACAGGAGGCACCACGCCCGTCTGCAGGAAGGAAAAGACGCACCCAACTGGGGGCAAGAGTCGGGCAGCACAAGGGGCTGTAAAATGCAGGGCTCCACTCTGCGGGACTCTCAAGGCCAAGGGCGGGGGCCCAGCCCACAGCGCACCTGCTGCAGGGCGGCGTTCTGGCGCGTGTACTCCTCGTGCAGCTTCTCCACCAGGCTCTGCACCATGGCGGGCTGCACGTGCAGCAGGATGTCCCACCAGTCGTAGCCGGTCACCATGCAATACTCCAGCAGGAAGAGGAGGTGTCGCAGCGCCAGGCTGACGTCCAGCGCATGCCCCATGGAGGGGGAGATGCGCAGCATGCTCAGCTGGCGGGGAGGGGTGGGCACCCGTGAGACCACAGGAGGAGCCCGGGGTGGGCAGTCCCCCGCCGAGTGCACCCTGCATTTCCGCTTGAGCAAGTGTGAGTGTGTGTGCGCGCACTGCTGTCTCTTTCTGCGAGGTCGAGGACGAGCTCCTCCAGGGCAGAGGAGGACCTCGACCACGCACCTGCACATGCCTGCTGCGAGGCCTGACCCGCCCAGTGACTCTAGGGCTGCGGACCCGCACCGCTCCTCCTTTGCCAGCAACGCGGCTTCAGAGTGAGGGCCCAGACTGGCAGCGGGGGCTGGCTGTCAACAGCAGGAGGGGAGGGGGCTCTCTCTGAGAGGCGCTGGCCTCACAGGGCAGGCGGGCAGCTCCGGAGGCGACAGGTTAGCCTACCTTGCCGTGGTTGTCGATGCCCACAAGGGCCAGAGAGGTCCAGGAGAGCTGCATAGCCTTGAAGTGGACAGTGGGGCCGGTGGTCCGCGGGCGCTTAATGGTGGGCTCGTCCACGACCCGCGGGGCCGTGGAGCTATAGAAGACGGCCATGATCTGCAGTGAGAGCCGGTGAACGATGTGGACACTGCCGTCGTGGAAGGCCAGGGCCAGCCCTAAGGGGTATTTGGGGGATCAGGAGGGAGATGGCTGCCCCACCAGCAGAGGCTGCCACAGTGGAGAGGCACACGCCCCACCCCAGCCACCCTCATCCTGCCCCCCAGGCCGCCCACTGCCTGCCGCCCCTCAGTCATCTGTGCCCTGCCTTTGGTAACAGCCCCAGAGACCAGGAGCAGCAGCTGCGCGTGGCTGTGCAGGGGGCATAGTTTCAGCTGACGTGGGAACTGCACGATTCCCAAGGGACAAGCTGGGGAAGGCAGAGGGATACCAAGGCCCGAGTCCTGGGAGCGGGACTTGTAGGGGCTAGCCACAAAGGGCTGGGGGGTCAGCGAGGTCAGCGTTCCAGGAAAATAAGTGAGTGATCCATGGGGACAGGCCCGGGGCTGTCCCTGCAGCCAAAACTTCAAATTGTCTTGGAAACCAAATATTTTGCCAATAGAGACACTGAGATCTGCTTCTCCAGGGAGCGTGTGGTTTCCAGAATTCAAGATTCACTGACAAGCCAGGATAGTGAAGGGTCCTTGCACATGGAAGGTTGGAAGTGGAACAAATGAAGTATTTTCAGGCCAAGAACTGGACGGCCCGACCCCTCCGGCCGATGTCTACTTAGAGGCCTGGCCTTGACCCACACTTTGGCTGTGCAAACGCTCCCTGCTGGTTCCGGACTCGAGGCCCTGCGCCGGGGCGACACCTCGCCTGCTTCAGCAAGAGGCAGCTGCGTGAGAAGCGCCATGTCCCCGACCTCTTTCACTGATTCTAGCAACCACTTCCAGCTAAAGAGCACGGCTTTTTGTCAGCTAGCCCCACGGCCCTTTGCACTGCTGGAGGCTGAAAGGAGGCGAGGCCCTGAGCGCTCCCCCCCCCTCCCCACCCCCCCCCTTCAGCTGCAGAGCAGCCTTACCCAGGCCGGGGTAGAACTGGGTGTCGTTGGCCACCTTCAGGTCAGTGTTGGTGAGTGAGATAGGCAGCTTGGGCAGTGCCACAGCAGACACACGGTCCAGGTCGTTGGTGGCAGACAGGATCCGCCACTTGAGAATCATGGGCTGTTTGTCACCCACTGAAAGCGGGAGAGGAAATGGAAAAGGAATAAAAACTGAGAGGCCAGAATGGTGGAACCCGCAGGAGGCGTGGGGGAGGCAGTGGCCGCGCTACAGGTCTTGGAGTTGCAGGAAGGGGGAAGCTGGAGTCCAGAGGCCATTACCTGGGCCAAGATCGGCCTGGCAGAGCTGTGCCAGAGCCAGGAGCCGTGGGCACACAGACCCCACAAAACAGCTCCAAGGAGGAGGGAAGGGGGAAAGGACCGGGTTAGGCAGCCCAGGGCTGGTGACCGCCTGTTCAGCCCTGCCCACCACACAGGGTCACGCCAGTCGCTGTCCCCAAGCTCGTGCAGACCAGATGGCCGGCGCCTGGGGACGGGTCCTGAGAAAGGGGCCACGACCCTCTTCACGCTTAATTACTCCGATTATGTTTCACTGTCCACGTTTAATTGTCACAACCTTCTTGCATCTTCCTCAGGAGCTCAAGGGGCCATTATTGATAATCAGCCCCCCAAAACTGGCATTTTCATATGCCAAGCAAACATGTCCTTAGGACAGGGGTGGGCATGAAAACCAGGGGCTGAGGGTTACCTCTCAACTCAGGGGGATGGAAATAAGCAGCTTTTCTGGCACCCAAGTGATCTCAGGCTGGGTGAGCATGCCCCAGGGTCTAAGTTAGGGAAGAGCAAATGACAGTCTTGGGGGGGCCTTTGGCGTCCTTCTGAAGCTGGAGGAAGCAGGACTTCATGCGGGTGCAAGGACAGGGCAGGGGACCATGGCACATTCTTGGCAAACCCAGTTAACACCCCCAGTCAGCCCATCTTCTCACCCTAAACCAGGGCTTCCTGGGGAGTCTGTGGCCTTCAGGCCAGTACACACCTCCCTGCCCCCCCTGCCTCCCCACCCCCCGCCCCCGCCGCTCATCTCTGTGCCCACTGGGCCCAGCTCTGGCCTGGTGCCCCAAGTGCTCTGCACCGCCGCTGCCTCAACCACACGCTAGCTCCCCACAGGAGCGTGTTTGCCCACTGGGTGACCACGGGGAGGACCGAGCTCTCTGGGGCAGGGATCCGCAGTAACCGCAGGTGGCGTGGGGCAAGCCCTGGACACTCACCCACGGGGGAGATTTGCTGGAAGATGTTGTTCACGGGGAGCCCCTCCTTCCTCAGGGACCAGCACTCCACAATGCTGCTTACCTGGCTGGACGCGCACAGGAGCACCTGGGAGGGGAAGGCACATGGCACAGGCTTGTGAGGACCCACCCCAAACCTGGGTTTTGCTCCTGGCCTGTCAAGTCCAGCCTACCCATCCCCCACCCGGGCCTCCACCTCCACTGGGCTCATGATGCCGAGGTCACAGCCCGCCCCAGTGCTGGGGAGGGACACTGGAACAGCAAGGGTCATCTGCATGGCCCTCCCAGGGAAAGTGAGGGAAACCCAAGGGGTGTGGGGAAGCTGGGGGCATTATGGGCTCATGGTGTGATGGGACCAGGCGACCTGGTGGGGTCCACAGAATAGCAGCCCTGGAGATGTCGCCACCCTAAACCCAGGGCCTGTGGGCATGTCAGGTGGTAAAGAGACCACAGGGAGATTGAGACCCCTGGGAGTGTGGGGGTTCTGCATTCCCGGGGCCAGTGTCCTCCCGAGGGTCCTTATAGAGGGAGGCGGAGAGTCAGGGGCAGAGGCACGGGAAGATGCTGCTGGCTGTGAGGATGGAGGAAGGGCCTGGATGCAGCCCCTGTAGATGCTGCAACAGGCTGGAGGAGCCCTGGACCCTCAGAGGAGCGGCCTGCTCCGCCCAGGCTGAGCCCCAGAAGACTGTGTGGACACAGGGCCCCACAGCCATGGGGTGAGAAGCGAGTGGAGATCTGCTACCGGGGCCAGAAGAAGCGGCGTCCCAAGCAGGACTCACCTGCTCCGACATGTCTCGTGCCAGGAACTTGAGGTGGGTGATGGCGGGGAACTTGTCCTTGCGGTTGAGGTCGGTGGTGCAGCGCATGAACAGCGAGGGCAGGATCTCGGTGTCGATGCGGCACTTCTCGCTGACCACGCTCACGCACACCTTGTAAAACTGCACTGGGGACGCGCTACTGCCATCGGCCGTCGCCACCACGATGTTGCCTCCACCTGTGAAGGCGATGTCGGCCAAGGCCACGCGGCCGCGCAGCCGGCACAGGCTCTCCGTGGACGTCAGCACCTGCCCGCTGGGCTTGAGCAGGGACACTGTGACCAGGCCGCTGACCGTGACGGCAATCCAGCCCTCCATGGGCTTGCCTCCGAACAGCGTGAGCGACGGCGAGAACTTGACCCGGGAGAACTTCTCCCCGAAGCTGGAGGCGCCTGACTGCAGGGGGAGTGGGGAGTGAGCAGGCTCCCACCCAAACTTTAGGGGTCTGCTTTTAAGATCCCATCACCCCACTTCTGGGTGCTACACCCACAGATAAAGCAGCAATGTGCACACGCCACCAGCACGTGGACTTAAGCTCAGCAAGTGCTTACAGCCCCACGTAAGGGCCTTCTCCGACGGTCAGGCTCCTTGCTTGTATTCTGGAAGACGCTGGTGGAGACTAAGTGACTGAATCATGGAGGACAGGCATGAGCGACCCTTTTTTTGTAAAGAGTCGCCCTAAGTTTTCGGCTGGTGGCCAGGGGTTTGTTTTCCCAGTGCAGAAACCAGTCCGACTCTGCCTACAGACAGGTGGTGCATTCAGCAGGCGACCAGAAGCAAAGCGTTGGCGCTGGCGGGCCCCAGGAGTTGCCTGGTATAGGAATTCTACCTTGATAAAGCTTTCAGCAAAAAAAAAAAAAAAAAAAAATGCGCCAAATAGCCAAAAGTGGTCTGTGTCTGGGGGATCCACCGAGTGGCATGTGGCGCTGTGGCCACACACTGAGGACACGCAGACACTGAGGAAGGCAGGCCCAGGGATGTGACAAAGAAAAAATTACTCTCTACTGCCAGCTTCCTGGTCATCAATCCAGGTCAGCTTCCTGGTCCATGGAGTGGTCCAGCCCAGCAAGTGCAGGGGCCACAAAGGCCTCTGAGGACCTGCAGCAGCTGGAGGCCTCACCCTGCAGCAGGGCCTGGCCAGCCCCCTCACTGAGTCCTAACTATGACCCAGCAGCATGTGAAGTGAAGGAAGTGACACACAGAGGCGTGAAGTCAGGATTTGAACTCAGGTGCCTGACCCAGGCGACTCCCGGCTGAATAGCAGGCTACAGAGAGAACTCTAGGATATTACTGAATCAGAGGGTGGCCTGACTTCTGAGGAAAACAGCCACCAGTTAAATGGGTGACTCATTGAAGACATCAGCCCTCAGTTAACCAGGTGCTGCACTGAGGATAGCAGCCATCAGTTAACGTGGTCCACTGGAACACAGGCTACTGAGAGCTGACCACTGGTCAGATCTGGGCCCACCACAGCTCTTACACCAGAGGTGAGAGGTGCTGGCGGGAAGAAGCAGGGTGGCTGGTGACACGCAGGGTTAATGACCTCTGCACCACTCACTTGGGCAGGACACCCACCTTTTCCACATGCAGGGCTAGTTTCACACCGTTGTGCAGCCAGGACAGGGCCACGATGGGGTCGCCCTCCACCAAGCTGCCCACAGGACTCTCCCAGCTATTGGCCAGGTGGTCAGCCATGCTCCAGCACTTGATCTGCCCATTGGCATCAGCTGACAGGAGCCGGGAGCCTGGTAGGGGGAGGGAGGATCGTTAAACCTAAGTCACACACACCCACACCGGCAGGAGCAGCGACCCACACATGACAATGGCTGGAAGGAGTCAGCCTGGTGGAGGAAGCAGGGGAGTGACAGAAGGCATGTTTCAGAAACAACTCTGGATGCAGGGAATGAGAAGAGCGATGGCGGCAGAGCCACAGATAAAGGACTTGAGTGCCAGCTCTGGACTCCAGCAACATGACCAGGGAAAGACGGAGCATCCCGCTCTGAGATTCCGGAATCAGGGCAAGCACTGCCCCTCCCCTGCCCCATGCCGTGCAGGACCCCAGGCCACTCGCACCTGACTGGTCCCACTCCAGGCAGGTGATGGCTTCGCTGTGCTCCGAGTTAATGGAGTGCACGTCCCAGGGGTGCTCTGTGTCCAGGATGTGGATCATGCGGGTCAGGTCTGCGGATCAAGAGAAGGTACCGTCAGCATGGTGACAGACACACGGCCCCAAAGCACCTGCAGATCCCAGGAGGTGTTGCTGAGGAGCCTGGGGCACATCAAACCCAAAAGGAAGAACCAGAACCACTGCTGACCACAATGAGCAGGCCTGGTCCTATAGGAGAACACGACAGGCCGGTGACTTGGCTGCCAGTGTGCCTACTACGTTTTTAAAGAAATAGAAGGAGGCATCCCTGGTGGCTCAAGGGGTTAAGCACCGCACTATGAAGCAATACACAAGCCTCTGCAGCAAGAGTTCGATCTCCAGCTGGCCAGGGAGAAACCAGATGGTGCAGCAGACCTCTCCTGTCTCCCCACTGCTCCCCTCAGCAGTGTATTTCAATCAGTCAGCCTGTTCTGCTCCCCACTCTGTCTCTGGTGAAGCCTCTCACCCCCTGCATCTCTGGCCTGTACCCCAGCTCTTGCATGCATAAATAAATAAATCTCTAAAAAAAAAATCAAGAAAGAAGTGGAAGGAAATGACCCCAAAATGCTGACAGTGGGCATCTCTTCAGAAGGTAATGGGGGGTTCTTTGTCCTTATTCCAAGTTTCTAGCCTTTTAAAATGTCCTTTAATGAGCACACGTTACTCAAACAACGAAGAGAAACTGGCTGGCACTAAGGTACCTTGGAGGCTTTCAAAAGCCAAACGGTAACATGGACAGTCTGGAAACTGGGGCATACATCTCCAACAAGCTGCAGTTCCACACACCCCTCAGCCTATTTGATAACACAGAAGTGATCCCAGTTCTGGCACGAGCCCCACCTGCCCTTTGCACCTCTATGAGGTTGAGATTCTCAGCACCCCGTCACGGACAAAGAAACCCTGAGAGGTCGTACAGGGGTGACGGGCAGCTCCCAGGAGTCCCCCCATGACATGTTCCAGGCAAGTGGGAAACAAGGGTACCGCATCACGAGGGAAGAGTGGGGAGGGGAGCGGCGGCTGCGGGCATACCCTGGTCGTCGTTTCGGAGGTCTGTGGTGAAGGCGATGAGGTTGCGGCAGGACCAGGCGCAGGCCAGGGGCACTGATGGACAGTGGGTGCTCTTGGGCCATTTCTCCCACTCGCAGACATAAGCCAGATCCATCGTGCCTGCCGGTCACAGGTCACACACCGAGGCACCCAGCTCCTAAGGGAGGGAGGACAGGCCAGTTACCACATTCACAGACAGCCTGCTAGATGCTGGTCACCAGGGAAACCGGACAGTCCCAGCCCCTGCGCACGGGTCTGGGGGGCTGCACGGGAAGGCAGTATTTGAGCACAGGTGTGAGGGGTGTGGCACGCAGGCCTGGGGAATAGCATTCCAGGTGCAGGGACCAGACAGTACAAAAGCCTAGGGTGTTCAAAGGGTGGCTGGGGGGCCTGTGTGGCTGCTGCAGTGAGGGTGGCGACGTGTGGGAGCAGGTCTTGGCTCTGGGGGCTGACCAGGCTGTACCACCAAGTGGGAGGGAATGGAAGCCTTAGGAGGGTCCCTCTGGCTGTCTGGAGGGCAGAGCCAGGCATCCAGGGGAGCAATGATGAGAGCAGTGCAAACTGATAGGTCGCTCCCTGGATCCGAGGGTGTGTCCTGAAGGAGTCCTGGGGGGGGGGGGATGCTGCTTCCTCAGACGGAGGGAGAGAGTGTCGGGCAGGGTCAGGGACTTGCTGTGGAACCGGAGTGAACAAAAACAGCAGCAATAAGCGTTTTCTCAGCCCTGGCTACACGCCTGGCACCCATTATAGGAGCTTTCCTTTCACCTTTACAAAGTCCCCATAGACTCGAATTACCATCAACCCCATCTTCCCCAAACACTACACCCAGGCCCCCCACTTCTTCAAGCCCTGCCCCAGAACCGCCAGCCGCCTCCACAGTCTGTGAACTTGGCCCCAGCGCCTTCTGGCCCATCTCGTTCAGTCTTTGCTTTCTGGATCCCGCTCTCAATTCGCTCCTTGAGCCCCCAGGCCTGTTCTCACTAGAGGGACCCCACAACCTCAGGCCCTGCCCCAAAGTCCTCCAGCCCGGCCCCTGCACCCTTTGCTTTACAAACCCTCCCGGCCCTCCGCGCAGCCCCCACTGCTCCCCGGGGAGCCCCCAGCTCCACCCCTGGGATCCCAGCAGGCTCCGGGTCTAGGGCCCCAGGTCCCGCCCCCGGTTTCCCCATCACCTCCCAGCCCCGCCCCAACGCGCTCCAGGCCCCGCCCGACTCACCCTGGCTCCGGGGCCGGGACCCCCGTCCGCCCGGGGCACCCCTCGCCGCCGCCTCGACTCCCAGGCCCCGCCCCTCAGGCCGCTACCCAGCACCCTTTGCGCGCCGCCCGGCCCCGGCCCCCCGGCCCCCCCGCGCCCCCGCTCCCGCCTCCGCGGGCCGCGCCGCCCCGCAGCCGCGCTCACCCGCCTCACGGGCCCGAGCGCCGAGCCGGCGGGCGGCCGCGGCCGGCAGTGCCCTAGCGCCCCGGCTCCGGCGCCTCCATCTTCCCGGCCAGACAGTCGCGGCGCGCGCGGCCGCGCCCGGAGGCTTCTGGGACGGCGCGCCCGGCCCCGCCCCCACCGCGCGGGGTCAGGCCGCGGCCGCCGGGCTGGGGGCGCCGCGTGGCCCCTGTGCTCGCGCTGTGTGTGCGGTGACGTGTGTGGTGGCTTTTTAAGATTTATTTATTCATGCATACAAGGGCTGGGGCACAGGCCAGAGGTGCGGGGGTGAGAGGATCCACCAGCGACGGAGCGGGGAGCAGAACAGGCGGATCCAGTGAAATCCACTGTTGAGGGGAGCAGCGGGGAGACAGGAGAGTCTGCCGCGCCATGTGGGTAGCTCCCTGGCCGGGGCTCGAACTCGTGCTGGAATAGCTGTGGGTAGCTTCACAGGTTGTGTCTTAACCACTTGCACCACCAGGGAGGCCCAGTAACATATATGTTTTATTTTTTCTTAAGATTTATTTGTTTATTTATACAAGCACTGGGTACAGTCAGAAGCGCGGGAGGGTGAGAGAATTCACCGTAGACAGAGCGGGGAGCAGAGCAGGCAGACTGACGAAGTACACTGCTGAGGGGAGCAGCGGGCGGCAGGAGAGGTCTGCGCGCCATGTGGGACTCTGGGCCGGCGGCCGGGGATCGAACCGGGCAGCTTCGCAGCCCAGAGCTCAACTGCTGCGCCACCAGGGGAGGCCCAACATACATGTTTTAAAAGGCGAACTGCAAATCCTTTGTGTAGTGCCAGGAAGGGCACAGGGCAGGTTTTCTGTGACTGAGCAGACGGGTGAAGGAGTCCTGGAGCCCTTGGTGGCGTTTTCAGGATTTTACTGTTCTTTTACCAGGTACCTGGCAGGCAGGGGTCCCGGGGGGCCAGGAGGCTGGCAGGCCTCCTAGCCCCTGGTGAATCTTCACTCTTTCTGGGCTCCCTGGCGTTCTCTCATGGCCTCTGTTCTCTGCTGGTTCTCTTCTGGTCTCTCGCTTGTTCCCTTCTGGTTGTCTGCGGGTTCTCCACGACGCCACCCTTATAAGCACCTTTCTCAGCCCAGGTGAATCCCACCTCTGTGTGCCCACACCCCACTTCAGGGGCCCGCCATGCATTCAGGACCGCAGGCATCCATCATCAATCCCAATGGCGAGGGGAGAAAAGCCTGACAATTATTTACCCTACACTTTGTAAAGAAATTTACCCTGAGCACACCAAGTAGCGCTTGACTCAGCCCTAGGATGTTGCTGCTTCGGCTGCACATGTATGCAGTCCCAACGCGCTTTGCGCGGAGATCAGTGTGGCCCCTGAGTGAGGACCGCGCGAGGTTGTGATGCGTCCCACCTTTTGCTTTTCTAACATCTGCAGGTGGGAAAACAGGCTCCGATGACTGAAGGGCTTGTCCCCTTGAGGGCCCCTCTGGATTCAGACTCCATCCCCAATTCCTCTTCCAAAAGCTGGTTCCTGTTCCAGTTTGCAAGTTCCTTCCCAGGGAACCCTCCTGGATCGCAGTGTAGGGCGCAAAGGGGGAGACACCAAGGCCTGGGGGCACGCAGCCTAGGAAACAGACTGGGAGAGGGGGGCGCAAAGACCCGCACACTGACAGCAAGTGGAAGAAGCTGTGAGGCCCAGGCCTGACCCCTGCAGCCAGGGATTTGTTCCCTTTCCCAGGTGGAGGAGCCCTCCTGCTGGTTACTTAGGTAACCTCCATGCTAGCCGGTAGGATTTTCGTGTTTTTTTTAGCATTTACCTCCCCCCTTGCCCCCGCCCCCATGGCATCTAATTTTAAAACCTTTGAACACATTAACAAGGAGTACAGCACACCCGCTTCCAGATCTTGGTTTCTATTAAGGAACCACCAATAAAAGGAAGGAGCTTCTTGGTTCTAGAACAGAGTAAGAATATACAAGACCAGATGGAGCAACAACTGGCTAAATCTGGAACAATTTGAGCACAAAGAGAAATATTAGATTACCCAAAATAGAAAAGTAAATACCCATGGGTCCATACTGATACAAATGATAGGATAGATACAAGAGGCCCCTGCAGAATTCCCAGTGTTGCTCTGCCCTCAGGGAGGCGCCAGCCCCCACTATGTGTGAGCTGCCCCAGGACCCCTTCCCAGGAGGACAGTGTGGAGGGGGAGGAGATGCAGAGCAGAAGCCTGGCCACAAGTGACCAGGGGATCAGGGGCAACATCAGAGACAGCCGGGGGTCCTGACATGTCAGGATGCAGACGACACGTCCCCTCCGAGGTCTTCCCCTAAACCCACCACCTAGTCTGACGGTGAGAAAAACGACAGGAAACCCAGACCAGGGTGGTCCCGCAGGACATCCGGCCAGGGCCCCTCACAATTGCATGGGTGTCAGAGCAAGGGGCAGGGGAGACCGCCTCAACCCCAAGGGCCTCAGTGTCTCATGGAGTCCTGCCTGCCAGGGACAGGAGAGCAGGTGTGTGAGGGGAATGAATAAATGTGGGCTTCGGTTAATAATAATGTATCAGTGTTGGTTTGTTACTAGTGACAAATGCTTTACACTAAGGTAAAGTGTTAATTAGGGGACACTGGACAAGGGGTAGTGGTTCATGGGAACTCAGCATTGTCTACAGAATATTTGAATTCTGTAAATCTAAAACTGCCCTAAAATTAGGTTCATTTAAAAACAACCCTGGTGGCACAAGGGGTTAAGATGCAGCCTATGACGCACTCTGCAACCTCTGCAGCACGAGTTCGATTCCTGGCCAGGGAGCAACCCACATGGCGAGGCAGACCTCTCCCAGATTGCCTGCTGCTCCCCTCAGCAGTGTATTTCCAGTAGATCTGATTGTTCTCCCCACTCTGTCTCTGGTGAATCCTCTCACCCCCCACACCTCTGGCATGTACCCCAGCTCTTGTATGCATAAATATTTTTAAAAAATGAAAAAATAAAAACAATGACTCAAATATCAGACAGATGCTCTGCACTGGGGTTCAGCTGCCAAGGGAGGGTCATAGCCAGCTTGTGCTGAATGCACCCCCTCCCCCAAAGCTGGAAGGGGAGGAAGGCCCCTCCCCTGGAGCCGCAGAGGGAGCACATCCCTGCTGTACCTTAAGTTTGGACATGTGGCCCCAGATCTGGAGACAATAAATCCCTATCCTTTTAAGTCACACGGCGTGGGGCACATTACCACAGAAAGTGACTTCTTGGAAGGCACTTTTTGAGCAGTGGTGGAGTGAGGAGTTGAGCCAGGCAGCACTGTGCGCACATACTTGTGCTCCCCCAGGGGGTGTCACTTAGTTTGAAGCCTCCTCTCCAAGGCCTGGAGACTTCGTGACCTAGACTCAAGCATACTCCAGCCCTGCCCCAAATGAAAACCTCACAGCCTGAGACCAGAGCACCAGAAATTTATTGAACTCTCTACTTTTTTCCAGCGCACAACAAGCCACGCACACACACGGGGCTGGGGGTGTCCCCATCCTGCTCTTGTGGACCAGGCCAGGGTGACCACCAGGACACAAATTAATGGTCCAGAGCCAGGCTGGGGGCCAAAGGGAAAGGAAGGGGCAGTCCAAGGGCAGAGGCTTCTGGCAGGAAGTCCTGGACCCCCAGGGAAACAAAGGGAGAAAGGTGGGGGAGGGGCATGTAGAGCAGGCAGGGCCCCCAGAATCACCAACAGGCACCAGGGGAGGAGGGCACACATCCCACAGAATTTGTAAAACCAGCCTTTAAGACACAGGTTCTGTCCTGGATTGCTGCCACATGCATGCATACATGCACACACACACACGACACAATGCTCCTGGGGTGAGGGGCAGCGTCCCAGAGCATCCCCCCTCCAAGCCAAAAACTGGAAGGGGTCAAGTAGGGACTGCAGTTTTCGGTTTTTCTTCCCAAAAGGAAAATTTAAAAATCTACAACAAATCACACCAAATTCATTAAAAGTGATAAAAACCTAGCCTCTCTCTCCTCAGTTAAGCTTCAGACTGGCAGAAAAAGCTGAATGAAGAAACATGAAGTGACCAGACCAGGTCTCCCCACCCAAATACAAGTCCCAGAGTGGGCATCTATAGGGCCAGGATCGTCCAGGGCAGCCCCAGCTGCCAATGTTTATCTGAGACAGCTGGGCAGGGAGGTGGCCAGGGTGAGAAAGAGAGCCACCCCAAGGGGAAGAGCAGGTTTCTAAGGACAAATTCTAAAAATAATAAAATAATAAAAATATTTTAGCGGAGGATCGCAATGTCCTGGCGCCGGGTGAGGTGGTGGGCGGGGGACCGGGGACTGTCATCAGCTGCGTTGTTCCAGGTAAGCTGACAGCAGCAGGCCCGGAGGCAGGAAGTCCAGGTGCCGATTGCTGACCTTCATCTGTCGCTTGCCCTCCAGGTCAGCACCTGGGAGAGGGGAGGGAGGAGGAGGAAAGGATGAGGATGGTGGCACAGAGGCTCTGCAGCAGGATACCAGGAGGGCAGAGCCCTTAGCCCTTCCCTGCCAGAGGTACTATAAGCTACCAGTTGGGGTCTGGCCCACTATAACCCCCCAAGCCCCAGGATGTGGCTCACAGAACAGCTAACCCTCCATGAGTATCCTCACCTGCAGCTAGTTTCAACTTCTGCTGCTTCTTACCCCAAGTTTACACGGCCACACTGACACATAGGCCATGGCCAAGTGGACATCTCACAGGGCTTGAATGAGCATCCCACCCCCTCCCTGGTTTCCCCACTTCCATCCCAGGCCTCAGGGGTAACTCTGAGGCAACAGGCCCAGGTAGTCCAGCCCCAGCCAGCCTCCCCCTCCTTCACCTTCCCTCACTCCAAAACACGAGCATGCCGTGCCCAACCTGAGCTCAGTTCCCTCTGAGTCTTTGCCCCTGATCCTCCCTCTGCCACCCCCAGCAAGGCCCTCGATGCTGAGTCTGTGCGAACAAAGCAAACATGGGGACTGTATCTCCATCCCCCCAGGAATCACCCAGGGTGGCTGGCCATCTCATCTCCAGGCAGGAAGCAGAGAGACAGGCCTGGGGAGCATGGACACCATGGGGCTCCTGGGGTCAACCAGGACCTGTGAGGACCCTCCCTGGAGGTCCCCAAAACCATCCCCCACTGTAAGAGGGGAGCACAGGCCCCAGGAGGTAAGGCCTTGCCAGAAACCATGTGTGGTATAAGTTGGGGGGAAGGCTACTGCTAAATGAGAACCCGGCAGTCCCCTGATTTCAACTCAGGGTTTGTAGAGACCTGGCTTCATGACCCCACACCAGCCCTTCTCTCCCTTGACCAGATGCAGAGTGAGGGGTGTGTGTGTCCACAGCACCATACAGCATGTGTCAGGGACAGGGGGAGCTTCTCAAGAATTGATGCTGCCCCCTTTGCTCAGGCTGCCCCTCCTCCCCAGAAGCCTCCCACTGAGTAATCAAAGTATTAAACCCCAGATTCAGTTTTCCAGGGCTGAAGCACCCAACTCAGGTGCGGGGTGCCTCCAGACACTTACTGGCCGAGATGAGGTCCATGTACTGGCACACAGCATGAAGCAGGAGCCTCTCGAAGCTGTGGAGAACTGGCAGTGAGTGGCCACGACCAGAGCTGGCCACTGGGGGTGGGGGAGCTAGCTGTGCCCACTCCACCCAGTACCTGTTGTCCAGCATGGCTGTGTACACAGACTGGGGGGACACGGAGAAGAATCTCAGCAGTCGCTCCTCCCAGGTCTCCAGAATTTCCTGCAGGGGAGATGGACCAAGGGTCAGAACAACGGTGGGACCGTGGCCAGGTTGTCCATGCCTCCCATGCCAGGGGCAGCCTCCAGAGCCCAAAGATTTGGATTCAAATATGGTCTGTGACCTGCTACAGGAGGCGACTTAACTATTTCCAAGGATATCACTTAGGCCCCTCTGTACCTTTGAACACCTGCACCTGGAAAACCCCTATACATCCTGCAGTGCCCACCTTCACTGCCCCTGCCCCTCCATCCTCAAGAATAGCCTTTGCCAGACCCCGGGTCCTGCTCTCCCACCACATTAGTCTGCATCCCACCCTGCCTCCTGGAGACGACCCTGCAGGAAACCAGCCTCCCGTCCTTCCTTCCCTTGCGGAGACGCAAAAACAGGTCGTGCAGACTAGGCAGGTGGGGGTTAGCCGGAGTCAGCCTGGCACTCACCATAGGGATGCGGCTGCGCTTCAGGATGGCCCGCAGCCGCCGGCTGATGCGCTGGAAGCACTCGCGGGGCGTGTAGGCCGGGTCCTCTGCAAGAGCCACAGACCAGCTCTCCCTACCCCTCCTGCTCCACACCGGGCTCCGCCCCCCACACCCCGACTCTCCGCCAGGGGCCCTGGCCCCGCCCCCAGACACACAAACACACACACACTCCTCCCCTATCCTTGGCCTCCACCCCTATACCTCCCCTATACCTCCCCTCGCCCTCCAGATTCCTCCCGTCCCCAGCCACACCCACACGTAGGCCCCGCCCCGCCCCGTGCCTGGCCCGCCCCACCCGCGCCTGGCCCCGCCCCGCCCTGCTCCAGGCTCCTCCCTAAGCTCACTCCGGCAGAGCCAGGCCAGGGCCCACCCATCCCTCTGGTCCTCCCACTCCCGCTGAGGCCCGCACCTCTCCGCCGGTCCTCCCCGCGGCCAGGACCCCTCCTCCTCGCCTTGTTCCTGCCCTCATCCTCCAGATAGCGGAGCACCCGCTCCTGCTCCTCCCCAGAGCGGTTCATAAAGTCGTTCCAGACCTGAAAGAGAGGCAGACAACAGTGACTACACACCCCGGGGGGCCCCCATTTAACGTTCCCCCCAGCCAATGTGGAAGGAGGGCCACAAGTACATGGACACACCCCTTGTGGACACCTTTGCCCACTGGACTGGCAGAGCCTTCATGGAGCACCTGGAATCTGCCGGGGTGGCACAGGGCATCAGTATGTCAAATACCCCCCCCCCATGAGTCATTAATTTCAAGCGTGAGGAGCGGATGCATCCAGGTGCTGGAAGACTATGAGCCAGTGAGGGGAGCCTGAAGGTGGCTGAGGGGGTGTGCACCGAGGACAGAGGGGACACGTGTTCTTGGTGGAAGGACCGGCATGGGCAGTGCCTGGTGTGGGGGCAAGCGAGGGATATGGGGCCCACCTCCACGTAGGTCTCGTTGTTGCAGGCCTCTGCGAAGATGCCGGGTGCCGCTGGGGGCGCCAGGTCGCCTTCATCTGGACCAGGTGTGCCCCCGTCTGTCTCCAGCAGGGTCAGGAGGTACTGGGCTACATGGAAACAGATTATGTCTAGCCAAAGGGGCAGCATTCTGGAGCCCCAGGATCCCTGGGGACCCCAGGACCATCTTTCCTCTCCCTTTCACCTGTTGCTGCCTGCAGCCTCTGTTTAGGGCTCTTACTCTCTGGCTCACACCAATGCTCCCCACCACTAAGCTCCAGTTACCTTTCCCAGAAGGCACAGCCTCAAGAACTACTACCTATCCCGGGCTTGATGAACTCCTACACACCAGTTAAAACCCCACCCGAGGGCCTCCCCTGGTGGCGCAGCGGTTGAGTGCTGGGCTGCAAGGCTGCCCACAGCCTCTGTAGCACCGGTTCGTTCCCTGGCCACTGGCGAGGGTCCCACACAAAAATAAATAAAATAAAACCCCACCCGAGATGCCCAGGCTCCTCTACCCAGCTTAGGACCAGGTTCCTGGCCAAGGCAACAGGTAATGCCAACATGCACACCAATCTTCTTGAGGCCCAAGGGCCCCCAGGAGGCGTCCCAACCCCTGCTCACTGTTCTCCAGGCGCTGGAGGCTCTTCCGCCCCTTGGCCTTGGGCACAAGATCCGAGTTCCTCACGGCCTGGTTGATGAAGTGCTGCTTCCGCTTGGAGGCTGACAGCCTCTTCACCTGGGAGCTGGCCAGAGCAGGCAGGCAGCCTGGAAGGGGCCTGTGGGTGGGGTGGGAGTGGGGAAGTGTCCTCAGAGCCAGGACAGGCCGGGGCCCCCAGGAAGAGCCCTGCCATAGCCACCCTACCATCGCTGTCTCCCATTTGCCCTTCCTCAGCCTCGTGGAGCTCACCCCCACCACATGTAGGGCTGGACCTTAAAATTTCATTTTTTTTTTTTTAAAGATTTATTTGTTTATTTATTCATACAAGCACTGGGTACAGTCAGAAGCATGGGAGGGTGAGAGAATCCACCAGAGCCAGAGCGGGGAGCAGAGCAGGCAGAAGGACCGAAGTACACTGCTGAGGGGAGCAGCGGGCGGCAGGAGAGGTCTGCGCGCCATGTGGGACCCTCCTCTGGTGGCCGGGGAGCAGCCGGGGATAGAACCAGCGCTGCAGAGGCTGTGGGCAGCTTCGCAACCCAGCACTCAACCGCTGCGCCACCAGGGAGGCCCAAAATTTCATTTTTTTAAAGATTTATTTATGTATACAAGAACTGGGGTACAGGCCAGAGGTGCGGGTGGGTGTGTGTGTGTGTGTGTGTGTGTGTGAGAGAGAGAGAGAGAGATGATTCATCAGAGACAAAGTGGGGAGCAGAACAGGCAGATCTACCAAAATACACTGCTGAGGGGAGCAGTGGATGAGCCAGGAGAGGTCTGCTGCGCCAGGTGGGCAGTTCCCTGGCTGGGGACAGAACTTGTGCTGCAGTGGCTACAGATAGCTTCATAACGCTACGTCTTTTTATTATTTTAAGAACGGGGGTATAAGCCATAGGTGCGGGGGTGAGAGGATTCACCAGAGACAGAGTGGGGAGCAGAACAGGCAGATCGATCGAAATACACTGCTGAGGAGAGCAGCGGGCAAGACAGGAGAGGCCTGCTGCATCCGGTGGGTGGCTCTCTGACGGGCCGGGGATCTTAGGGCTGCCTCTTAATCCACTTGCGCCACCAGGGAGGTTCCTTAAAATTTCATTTTGTTTCAAAATTGTCACTTCAATTAGGAGGCATGAATTGTGAAGATGAACTGCTAGACAGAGGATCAGAGAAACTAAGACACTTGCCTGAATTCACACGGGAGAATAGTTGCTCCCCAGCCCCCCAAAGACTTTCAGATTTCAGCTGCAAGCTAAGAGGCCCAGTCTCAGGACTTGAACATCGGGTATCCTCTAGGGGCTTCTCAAGAGACTAAACTTGACCAAGCACCCCTGCCTCACCTCCCTACCCTGCTTACCCTCCCACCCCCTGTAGCAGCTTAAGGCCAGGTACCCCCACCCAACAATGTGCCCAGGGGCCTGGACTAGGGAGGGCTGGGGAGCTAGAGTGGACCCCCAGGAGCTAATCTGCTCTCCTCCCAGCAAATGGCACTAATTGTGGACAAGGATTAGCTGGCAGCAAGGTCTCCCACTGGGGACTAGAGGAGGCCGAGGGAGGGAGCAGGAGGGAGGGTCTACATGGAAACTTCTGGCAAGAAGCTGCAGGGTTTCCTGGTCAGCGCCTGATGATCCCAGACCACAGGCCAAGAGGAGGGTCCTCCCCAGGCTCCAAATCCTCACACTGTGGGCCAATGGTGGATTCTGACCCTCAGAGGGTTGGGGGGGTGCCAGGACCCCCTCCCCGCCCCTACACAGGCACAGTCCCATCTCCTGGCCTTGGCACACTGTGCCCCACACCCGCTGCACACTCTGCCAGGCTCCGGCCGGCTCCCGTGCTCATTCCTTTGAGTTTCTTTCTATTCAAGCCTCGACAGTGAGACCCTGAATCCCTCTCACATCCCACCGCTTTCAGGCTCAGCTGTGGGGGCAAAAAACAAACAAATGAAAAATATCCCATTGCTTTGTTTTTCTGCACTGATGACTGATCACCTCTCCCATTAGACTGTAACCTACACAGGGGCGGGATCTGGTGCCCGCTCTAACCCTCGACACTCGCCACACCCGGCATGTAGTAGGTGATCACGAAAATAACTGCCCGATCAGTTATCAAAAAATTGCACCCAGGCTTTCCCAGTGTCCAAAGTTCCCAAGCCACACTCTCCAAACCACCAAAGGCAAAGGCTCTAGGAAATTCTCGTTGGGTAGAGACAAGACGCCTGGAAGGGGTTAGATTGTGGTGAATGTCTGTGTATGTGTAAAAAGCTTTCCGCCTCAGGTTTGTGCACTGCATGCAGTGGCCATTCTATCTGGATCAAATAGTAAAGAGGCTGGTGAGACCCAGCACCATGGGTGGGAGTAGGGCAGGGGAAGGTGCAAGACAGGTAAGTCAGGGATATACAGGATACCCATCAAGAAGAGGCATGGAGGGGCCACCCTGGTGGCACAGGGGTTAAAGTGTCAGCACTATCAAGCTATCGCCAGCCACTGCAGCCTGAGTTCGATCCCTGGCCAGGGAGCTGACCCACAGGCGTAGCAGACCTCTCCTGTCTCCCCGCTGCTCCCCTCAGAGTTTATTTTCATGGATCCGCCTATTCTGCTCCCCACTCTGTCTCTGGTGACTCCTCTCACACCCGCACCTCTGACCTGCACCCCAGTTTTTGTATGCATAAATAAAAACAAAGAGGAGGCATGGAGATCCTGGGCTCTCAGCCACCATGCTTCACTGTCTGACCCAGAACCTCAGTTCACTTTCAGCAAAGTGGGGGTAAGAACGGCCCCTGCAGCTGCCTGTATGTCTGGGAGGGGCACATTGAGCCAAGAAGGGCCAGGACAGATACCCTCCTCCGTCAACCCATATGCCACCAGCTTAGTTTCCTCCTGTAACTGGGAGCTCACGGCCTTGGCGACAGGGCTGATCACAGCAACATCCCTGGGTTGAGTGATCTCTACACCATCACCCCAGGAGGCAAGTACTAACATTTTGACGCCCATTACACAGATTAGCAAATCAAGGCACAGAGTGACTATCCCAAGCTCCATAGCTGTGAAGAGGGCAGCTGACACAGCACATGGCAAATACAGGCAGCACAGAGACAAGGACTCGAGGCTGCCCTGACAACTCCCAATCCAAGCCCCAGATTCACTCAGGGCCTCCCCAGGGCCCCAAGACCTCTCTCTCCACCCCAGCAGCTGGACAGAGTCCAGGCTGGTGGCCTGGCAGTGCCCGATAAGAGGCCACATCCGGGAGGGGGAGATGTTGGGAGCCATCAGGGTGGGGTAGGGCTCCAGAGAGAAAGCAGGCCCCAAGGGCACCAGGCTCCACCACAGCCTTGGATCTGAACACGAACACTCCGCAGAACCACTCGGGTTTCTGCTTCCAACTGGGCCCACAGAGATCCAGACCACAGTCCACTCAGCTAAGATCAGACTGGTTCCTCTCCTGCTCCACCACCAAGTGTGGCTCCCCAGCACCCCCCAGGGCAAGGCCCAGCTACTCCTGGGCCAGGTGTTGGAGGCCCCATCCATTCCCAGACCTAAACAGGCACTGTGAGAACCCCACTCGTGGCTTCAACCCCACTCGTGGCTTCTCTACCATCACAAAATGAGTCCCACCACCCAATCATGCTAAGTTCAGCCAGATTCCACAGGTGACAAGAAATGTGGCCTCTAGGGCAGACAGCAGGGCCTGGGCCCCTGCTCAAAACACAGGGCAGGGCCACAAGGGGCAGGGCCAAAGCAACAGCTCGTGAATTCCCAGCGAGTCAGACTACTGATGAACGCTAAAGGGGTAGGGGCCTCCCTGGTGGAGCAAGGGGTTAAGTCTCAGCACTATGAAGCTATCACCAGTCACTGCAGCACAAGCTCGATCCCCGGCCGGGGAGCTGACCCACAGGGCGCAGCAGACCTTTCCTGTCTCCCTGCTGCTCCCCTCAGCAGTTTATTTCCATGGATCCACCTCCTCCCCACTCTGTCTCTGGTGAATCCTCTCACCCCCCGCCCCTCTGGCCTATACCCCAATTCTTATATGCATAAATATATTTATTTATTAATCTTAAAAAAAGGAAAGCTAAGGGGGTAGCAGGGACAGAGGTATAGACTTCACGTAGAATAGACCTACATACCTCACCACACACACCCAAGCCCATCTCCTGCCTCACCCCACTCCTGGCTCCAGCCACAGGGGTACCTTCACGGTGCCACAAACTCACCAGCAACCAGTCCACCTCAGGGTCTTTTTTTTTTTTTTTTTTGGTGGGGCCCTTGCCGGTGGCTGGGGATCGAACTGGCGCTGCAGAGGCTGTGGGCAGCCTTGCAACCCAGCGCTCAACCGCTGCGCCACCAGGGGAGGCCCGCACCTCAGGGTCTTTGCACATGCAGAGCCCACCCCCTAAAGCAGCCTTACTCCGGCTCATTCTGGTTTCTGCTCCCAGGAGAAAGCGCCCCACTCCCACCCCTCCAACACCCCCAGTAAGCCCCGCTGCCCTGCTTCACTAGCTCTATCTGAAACCGTCGGTCCTCCGACTTGTTTATCCTGCCTCCCTGCCTCTGGACACGATGTCCTTTTGATCCCTGCTCTGTCCCAGCACCTGGCCCAGAGTGGAGTGTCCCTTGACTGTTTGTTGAATGAATACCTGAAGTCTGTTTACACCCTCACCCAAGGGTTCTGCAACACCCAAAGAGATTACTTTGTAGTTGGGGAAACTGAAGACCCAGATAGGGCAAGTGAGGCTTCCCCGTCCCAGCAGGCCTCAGGAAACATCTGCCCGGCAGCCGCTGTCACTGTGAAGGGTGTCACTTCCAGGGGTGGGAGTGACTGCTAGGTCAGGCTGGGATTGGGGAGAACAGGCCCTTTTGCCCTGCCCCAATCCTGTCCACTGAGGGTTTTGAAATGGGGCCGTCGTAACACCTGCTCCCGGGTGGAAAAAACACACCTTCTCTGTCCAGGCCCCTCCCCCCTTGAACCGGCAAGAGAGGAACCTACTCCCCGGAGGAGGAAATCCAGGAGGCTCAGAGTGACTCAAGTCGGGTGGGGCTGACTGGGGTCCCAGCAGAGGCCAACCCCCTGCAGGGGGGTGAGGGGGCAGGGCAGAGGGACCACCTGGGTGGTCAGAGCCCCTTGAAAGGGGCATCAGCTCTTTGGGATAAATACCCACACATGCAGAGACCCCACGGCCTCTCGCCAGGTGGGGAAAATAACAAGGAAAACAACAAAACGATGAAGTCTTTTTAAAATAACACCACGTGTAAGACCATCATTAGGGGATGGTCCTTCGGCGGGCAGGCCACCTGCCAGGGCAGGGTTCCTGCGCCCAGGGCACTGCCACGGCTGTGGCTCGTTTTAGAGATGGGGCAACTCGGGCCCGGAGGTGGGGGGCGCTGCCAGGTGCCGGCTGTCCGCGGGGGCGGCACTGGAACCCCCGCAGGCAGCCCACGGCCAGGCCGCCCCACTGCCGGGCGCTGGGGTGCCCTGCCCAGCCTGCACGTAAACACCGGGGCCTTGCCATATGGGGTCTTTATCTTGGGGCGCGCAGGCACCTGACGGCCCGGGTTTTAAGCGCCCCTTTAATATGGGCATTTACCCAAAGGCAAACAAAGCCGGTCCACCCAGCAGAGGTTGGGGGCGCTGATACCCCACGTGGGTACCCAGGGGCGGCTGGGGGTGAGCCCAGCTTGGGGACGGAACCTGGGGGTCAGGACCCGGGCACCCCAGCCGCGCTCGGGCCGGCGCGGAGCCCCAGCTGTCGGGGCCGGCGGGGGCGGCGCCGGGGGCGGGGGGCGCCAGCAGCCCGGACCCCGCGGCCGGCGCGCGAGCACGAGCGGCGCGACCCCCGCCCCGGCGGCCCCCGCCCCGCCCCGCTTCACCCCGGCCCGGGTCCGGGGCGCGAGCCGGGAAGGGGGCGGGGCGGGGGCCGCCGCGGAGAGGCGCCCGCGCGAGGGAGGGGAGGGAGGGGTCCCCGAGCCCGGGGCGCGCCCCCCGCGCTCACAGCGTCCGCCGCCGGCCCGCGGCGCCCTCGGCGGGGCTCGCCGCCTCCTCCGCGCCGCCCTCGGGGTTCTCCAGCGCGACCATGGCTCGGCCGCCGCCGCCAGCGCCGTCGCCGCCGCGGCCGCCACCCAGCGAGGCCGCCCGGCCCGGCAGGAAGTGACGGGACCCCGGGGGCGGGCCGGGGCGGAGCCTGCAGCCCGACGCCGGCCCCCGCGCCCCCCGCGCCCCCGCCGGCCCCCGCCGGCCCCCCGCGCCCCCGCCGGCCCCCGCGCCCCCGCCGGACCCCGCCGGCCCCCGCCGGCCCCCCGCCGGCCCCCCGCGCCCCCGCCTTCCCCGCCGGCCCCGCGCCCCCGCCGGCCCCCCGCGCCCCCGCCGGACCCCGCCCGGCCCGTGGGGAGACTGAGGCGCGGGGGGCAGGGGCGCAGCCACGTGGGGGGAGGCCGGGGGGGGGCGCCCGCCACAGCCCGCCTCGCTAGGGCTCGGGCCTGAGGACAGACAGGGAAACTGAGGCAGGGTTGGGGGCGGTGGGGTGGGGGCGACCGTCCCTGAGCCGCCACTCAGCTGCTGCAGGTCGGATGCGCCCAGAGGGGAAGCTGACGCGCCGGGGTGAAGAGGGGGCTGTCCCTGTGGGCAGCGGGGGACAAACAAGTGACCCCTGAAGCCCCCAGCAGCACCAGGGCTGTCCCCCCACAGCCTCCTCCGCGCCTCCGTGGAAGCGCAGCCTCCGGGTACCTCAGGTTACTCATCTCTAAAAATAGGGCAAACAGCCCCCTCTTCTTTTCCTTTTGGGGTTTGGTCCTTTAACAAATGCCCTCTGTGTCCTGGGCCTGGTATTGGCTGGGGACCCCGTGAGCAGGACCCATTCCCCACTGAGGGGGGTGGGAGAGAGGAGGCCTCTGGGGGGGTGGGGGGGGACCGGCAAGCTACAAGTAGTGGGAAGGGTGTTCCAGGTAGATGCAAAGGCCCTGGGGCATCTGCATGGCCAGAGCAGGGCCACGTCCCCTACGCTGGGTGGGGAGGTGCAGGAACAGAGACAGAGGGGAGAGCCTGATTTGGTTTTCACCCCCAAGGTATAGGGAGCCATGGAGTTTGCAACAGAGAATCAAATGTGCTCTAGAATCTAAAACCCACTCTTCAGGAGTGGCAGGAGTTATCTAGAGCACTTCAAGAAAATACATTTCAGCCTAGAATTGTTTAGCCTGCACAGTAACATTCAAGATAGAAGGACGAATAGGGAATTGACGGAAAAACAGTAAAATTGGGGCCTCCCTAGTGGCACAAGGGTGAGTCTCAGCACTGCGGGGCTGTGGCAGCCACTGCAGCCCGAGTTCCATCCCCAGCCAGGGCTCTGACCCACAGGGCGCAGCAGACCTCTCCTGTCTCCCCGCTGCTCCCCTCAGCGGTGGAGTTCAGTCAGTCTGCCTGTTCTGCTCCCCACTCTGTCTCTGGTGAATCCCCCCACTCCCCACACCTCATGCCTGCACCCTGGCTCTTGCATGCATAAATAATCTTTTTTTTTTTTTAAAGATGAAAACAAATACTGGATAGTTACACAGCAGATGATTTGAAAAAGTAAAATACAAAAACCGGTGGGCATTCATGAACATGACGAGGGCTCTGAGGCTAAGGGGAGGGAGGGAAAGGGACAAGGGGATATAAAGGATTTTGGTGGGGAAAAAATAAATTCCCTCTCAGTCTACAAGAAAAAGAAATGGATACTGCCCACCAGATCCAGGCTGGTAGAAATTGCACAGGATAAATAACTCAATTGCTTTCATAAATAAAGAGCAAGGGTGGGGGATAAAAGGAGAAGGAATTATTAGAGGGCCCAAAAGAGCATATACTGTCTGAGTTCATGTAGATACATGAGAAAAAGAGGCAAAAGAAATAGCAATGCAAGTCCGGAAAGAAAGTTCCTCTGGGGGAGTAGCTGGAAGAAGGTTCTAGGGAATAGCAATGTTTGGTTTCCTGGCCAAATCCATGAAGACTGACTGCTCAGTGTGCACTGACTACATGGAGAGGAAGGAGCAAATTCCAGAGAATTCAGCCTGAGCTTTACCCAGATTCTTGGCCCTCTCTCTTCTTGACACCCATCTGGCCCCACACTCTGGCTGCTTCTCCTTGCTCTGCAGACCCCCTATCTGGAGGACCAGATGCCAGCTGAGTGCCCTCCTAGGCCCTGGCACTCAGTAGCTTGGACCTTATCCTAGCCTGTTCCTCTATACCACTCAAAAGGATTTTTCCTCTTTTCTCGTTGTTTAGGCCATTGCCAGTAATAATTCTGAAAGTATAAACAGGATAAACAGGAGCTCGCTCTCCCTCCCCAGCCGCCTAGTACTTGTCTTTGGAGCTATCACTTTCATTTGATGCTAAGCCTATTTATTTATCCTCCCTGCTCCCAGATTTAATCTTCTCTACACAAACAGCACCGTCCTTTTCTCTGCCTTAAACCTTCCGTGACTCCCCAGTATCAGGGACAAATCCTTCCAGCCCACACTCAGGGCCTCCGCTGAGGCCAGGCTTCCCTGCCGCCCTCCACCTGCCTGGAGCAGTCAAGATCACTGCCTCTGACAAGTTACACTCCCTAGTGTCTGCCTTTGTCCTGGCAGTTTGCCCTACAGAATCTCTGTGCCCTGGTTAGGATGCGTCCAGTCTCCATACACCCACCTCTCTTCGCTCTACCCCAACTCCTCCCCAGACTGTACCCTCAAGTGCTCTCTTGAGACCACGTAGGGGAGGAGATGAGGAGAGACTGTGGCGCCAGTTAATGGAAGGGACGCAGCAGGTGGGGGAGTGGAGAGCTGCTGCTGGTGAGGCGGGAAGGTGGGCACAAGAGGGGGGCGCCTTGTATAAAGACACAGCAGCTGCTGACTGGAGCAGAGGAGCCGTCTAGCCCAGTGGAGCCACTCTCCAGGCCCAGTGGCCTCCCATCTAGACCCTTGGGTGCTTGGTAGGCTAGGCTCATACCTGGCCAGTGGGCGGGAGTTGGGTCTTTGCAACAATCCTGGGGTGCAATCCTGGAGGGCGACCAGGAGAAAGTGGGGAGCAAAGCCATGCGCCTCGTGGCCACGTCCAGGTTCAACACATCCTGGTGGGCGCAGGCCAATGCCTCGGGTTGCCCAGGCTGTGGGGCCAACGCCTCTGGCGAGCAGGACTCTGCGCCCCGGTCGGTGGACGCTTGGCTGGTGCCGCTCTTCTTTGCCGCCTTGATGCTCCTCGGCCTGGCCGGGAACTCGCTTGTCATCTTCGTTATCTGCCGCCACAAGCAGATGCGGACGGTGACCAACTTCTACATCGGTGAGCGGCCGGGCGCAGCGGGGTGCCACCACATTCGGGGTGTGCAATGCGTCCCCTAATGGTGCGTTAGGGTCCTTCCGGATAGGGATCTGTCTCCGGCGGCTCCTTGTCCTTTCCCTGCCGTCCCTGTACGCTGGGTCGCAAGCGCTGGTTTGGGTTTGAGGGTTCCATGGGTGCCAGGGCAGTTGAAAGAAAAGACGTGGAGTGTGGCTCTGGGTTCCGCCACCCCAGAAAGGTGCCGGGTGGTTCTTACACGGAGGTGTCCCAGCAATACGAGGGCCCGGGAGGGGCGCAGGTGCTTGGCCCAAGGGCCTGCAGTTTGCAACTTCTACCCTGTGCCGGGTTCAGCACGTGGTGCCGGCATGTCCTGCCCAGGAGCAGGAGCAGGAGCAGGAGTGCTCCGTGGGCTCCTTCTGCGGCGGCTGCTGGGCTAGCACCACCGTCTCCAATTTGCAGACGAGGAAACTGAGGCTCGGAGGGGCGCGGCCGGCGCAGGCGCTCTTGAACAGGGCCCACGGCTGCTTGAATGCCTACTTCGCCCACGCTGGGGGAGGGGGTGTTGAAATGAAAAAGGAGAGGCTAGAGGGGCCCCAACTCTGCTGTCCCAGGACATGTGGGGGCGGGGATGCCCTCTCGAGTCGTCCTGCTGCTGGTTCAGACCAAGGCGAGGGTTGGGGCCTGGGCCGCGGGTACTGGGGGCTCTGAGTTCCCTGCACCCCGTGTCCAGCGCCCGTGTGTACGCCGCCCACAGCCAACCTGGCGGCCACCGACGTGACGTTCCTGCTGTGCTGCGTTCCCTTCACGGCCCTGCTCTACCCGCTGCCGGCCTGGGTGCTGGGCGACTTCATGTGCAAGTTCGTCAACTACATTCAACAGGTGCGCGGCGCCGGGAGCGCGCGGGAGAGCGCCCGGGAGCCGGGGCGGGGCGGGGCTGGAGTCTGGGCGGGCTCTGGGGCTGGCGGCTGGAGCGGGGACCAGGTTGGGGTTCCCGGGAGCCGGGCGCTCTGACTGGCTCCCCGGGCCGGGCGGGGACTCAGCCGAGGAACTTGCTCCCGACGGGCGTGGAGGGAGGATACAGGTAAGGACACGGGGCTTGGGGGTGACAGGTAGACACTGGGAGGGAGATCTGGACGCTGTGGTTTCTTGCCCCTTTGGTTATGAAATCGCAGGATGGTTCTGCTCTGTACCCGGGTCTCAGCTGACCCTCAATGACCCCCTAATTTCCCACTACCCCGGGCTCCTGTCTGGTGTTCCTGCTGTCCTGCCCCTTCCCCGCCCCCCCGGACACGTTCTGTTTGTGCCTCAGCAGTTGGGTTTATGGGGGCAGGGGGAGGTGAGAGACCTCGGGGTGGGCTTGGACATGGCATGCCCAGACTCGGCGGGGGCCACACATGCCCCGGCTGGGGCGCTCCCAGGTTTCTGTGCAGGCCACCTGCGCCACCCTCACGGCCATGAGCGTGGACCGCTGGTACGTGACTGTGTTTCCTCTGCGCGCCCTGCACCGTCGCACACCCCGTCTGGCTCTGTCCGTGAGCCTCAGCATCTGGGCGGGTGAGTGCCAGGTGGGGGCCTCAGTGGGGTGGGGGGACAAGCCCTCCTGTCCTGGGCGTACAGGACACCCACTGCCTCTCTCCTGGCTTCGCGGGGCACCTGGAAAGTGGGTGCAATGGCATTACCTGGGAAGGGGTACTGAGCATGCAGACCTGGGGTGCTGGTCACCCGAGGGGCGCTCAGTGAATGGTGCCCGGGGAGGCACCTTGGAGAGCCCAGAGGCCTGGCTTCCGCGCCTCTCGTCCCCTGGACAAGGCCTTCAGCCAGGCCTGTGGTGCAGGCTCCGCGGCAGTGTCGGCTCCAGTTCTTGCCCTGCACCGCCTCTCGCCGGGGCCACCCACCTACTGCAGCGAGGCCTTCCCCAGCCGAGCCCTGGAGCGCGCCTTCGCGCTCTACAACCTGCTGGCGCTCTACCTGTTGCCCTTGGTTGCTACCTGTGCCTGCTATGGAGCCATGCTGCGCCACCTGGGCCGCGCCACCCTGCGCCCCGCAGCGCCTGCCGACTGCGCCCTGCAGGTGCTTGGCTGGGGTGGGGAGCAATCAGCCCCGGGTTAGGGGTGGGGGTAGCGCACTTGGAGGCCTCAGAGGGGGGTGGCACAGTGGAGGCATCTGAAGGGCTCAAGGGGCCGAACTCCGAGGGTGCTCGCCCCAGACGGTCCACAGTGTCCCCTCCTACCACCCCCATCCCAGGGGCAGCTGCTGGCAGAGCGAGCGGGCGCTGTGCGGGCCAAGGTCTCCCGGCTGGTGGCTGCCGTGGTGCTGCTCTTCGCCGCCTGCTGGGGCCCCATCCAGGTGTTTCTGGTGCTGCAGGCGCTGGGCCCGGCGGGCGCCTGGCACCCACGCAGCTACGCGGCCTACGCGCTGAAGACCTGGGCGCACTGCATGTCCTACAGCAACTCGGCGCTGAACCCGCTGCTCTACGCCTTCCTGGGCTCGCACTTCCGCCAGGCCTTCCGCGGGGTCTGCCCCTGCGCCCCCCTGCGCCCCAGGCCCCTCGCCCCTGCCGCCCCCGGCCCTGAGCGGCACCGCCTGGCCGCCCGCCCTCTGGGGGGCCCCCACCCGGGAGCCGCGCCCCTGCCCCCCCTGAGCCCGCTGTGTGGGAGACCCCGCCCGAGGACAGGGGCCGCCTGAGCCCGGCGGCTGTCTCCGCGGGGCTTGGTCTGCACTTCTGTCCCGGGTAGTCCTCGTGAAGCTGTTTTGTCCTCCTGCCACGTGGGGTACTAATTTGCCGCGATATTTGCCGCTCCTGATGTTGTGATGACCTGTGTTTCCTGACTTCAAGCTGCCTTGAGACTGACTTTCTCCAACTTTCAGAAAGCATTCAGAGTGGTTTTCACACACTTCTTTGAGGTAGACTCTAAAATTGTAAGATTCGGGGCCTCCCTGGTGGCGCAAGGGGTTAAGCACAGTACCATGAGCTGTCCGCAGCCTCTGCAGCGCGAGTTCCATCCCTGGCTGGACAGGGAGCACCCACACGGCGCAGCAGACCTCTCCTGTCTCCCCGCTGCTCCCCTCAGCAGTGTACTTCGTCAGTCTGCCTGTTCTGCTCCCCGCTCTGTCTCTGGTGAGTCCTCTCACCACCATCCCCCCCAACCTCTGGCCTGTACCCCAGCTCTTGGACGCATAAATAAATAAATATTTTAAAAAATAATAAAATTGTAAGATTCGTCCCATTTTCATGTTAAAATGTGAACACAATGGGCATCTTAAAGCGGATGAGATGGGTGTTATTGTTACTGTTACTCTTGCTATTGCCACCTGCTGGGTCCAGCTTCAGGGTGGGGAAGGGGTGGCAGGGAGTGAGTGATCCTCTGGGAGCACAGCACAAGGGGCCACCCAGGTGAGGACCAGGACTGGTAGCTCCATAATAAAACACGCAAAAATAGAGTTTTCAAAGAGCAGCTTCAGCTTATTCTCAATTTTGTGGGGTGAATGGGCTCCGCTGGGCAGGGCTGGCCCCCACGCAGCGGTGGCTGCTCGGCCATCTTGGGCTCCCTCCCCGCCATGGCCCTACGGGGAAAGTCAGACTTGTCCTAGCCAGAAACTGCCAAGTCCCATGACCTCACTTCTTCGAGTGAATTGTTTGGACCTCTGAGTCCCACTGGGGTTACAGGGGGTGGGGGCTGATGGAGGTGGTGGGCAGACTCACCTCTTGGTGGGTGGAGCTGCATGTGCCTGCCCCAGAGCGGGATTTGTGTAGAGTCCTCAGCATCCCTGCAGGCCTCAGGCTGACCACCCTGAAGAGCAACCACTCAGTGTCCCCAATTATCTGGGCGTGCCACAGTCCTCCAAAGACCCCCAAACTCGCTGAGATGTTAATATGAGACCAAGAGATGGGAATGTTACAGCACTTTGACATCAGCCTGAAGCCTGCTTGCTCTGGCCTTCAAAATGAGGTCTCCAGACAGAACTGGACCCATGGGTGAGATTCTCCCTTTTGCTCAAAGGCCCTCCCCACCCCCTCACCTCTCTTCTCTTCCCCAAACCCAGCCTCGCTGTGGCTTCCTGAATGACTGATATCTTCTTGAACCTAGACCTCTGTATGTCCAGTTCCCTTCCTGCCAGCTGCACCCTCACATCAAGTCTCAGCTGCCCCCTCCAGGGAGTCCTCCCAGACATTCCTCTACCCCTTTCCCCCGTCAGGTGCCTCCTTGGGTACAGTGCTGCCCACATCGCTGCTCTCATGGGCCCGTTCTTGTGCTGTACCTGCTGGGTGTGTGTCTGACTTGGTTCCCAGAGCCCAGCACACTGTAGGGCTGAATAAATACTTGTGGGAGGATTAAAATCCCATTGTTGAATGGGGACTAAAAGGGAAGGTATATCTAGAGCAAGTAGCAAGATTTTTCTGTGAAAAATGAATTTTTAAAAAAGATATATTTATTTATGCATACAAGAACTGGGGTGTAGGCCAGAGGTACAGGGTAGTGAGAGGACTCACCAGAGACAGAGTGGGGAGCAGAACAGGTGGATTGACTGAAATCCACTGCTGAGCGGAGCAGCAGGGAGACAGGAGAGGTCTGCTGCACGGTGTGGGTCAGCTCCCTGGCTGGGGATCGAACTCATTCCTTAAAGGCTGGCAATAGCTTAATAGTGCTGAGACTTTAACCCCTGCACCACCAGGGAGGCCCCTGAAAAATGAAATTTTTAAGAACAGTTAATTCTCAGGGGAACTCTTGGCAGTCTTTCCCAGAGAAATGAAAACTCTGTTCACACACAAGTCTGCACACATATGTTTACAGTAGCTTGATCTGTGATGGCTGAGACGGGGACCAAGCAGCTGTGTTTCCATGTGCGGATGGTTAGACAAGCTGGTCCCGCCATGCCAGGCGTCCTCCTCAGCTGTAAGAGCTGGTGAGAAAACCTGCAAACCTTAGCGGGGACACCGACTGTCACGCTGAGAGAAAGGAGCCAATCCCCGCAGGATATGTGGCGTGAGAGTCCCTCCTTGGGACATTCTTGAGATGACAGAGGTGTAGAGACAAAGCAGATTAGTGGCTGCAGGGGGAGGGACAATGGGGACCCAGGACCTTCCCATCTGGGGGGGCCCTTGTGAAGGAATCACTCTTGGTGGGGCAGACACCAACCTACACGGGAGATAAAATCACAGAGAACCAAATACACACACGAACATGCAAGTATAATGGGGAAATCGGAAAAGGTAGGTGGTTGCTCCAGTGCCAACATCCTGGTTGTGACAGTGGACAGTTTGCAAAATCTTACTGTAGAGGAAAGGCTGGTAAAGGATGTCATTAGAGCCTGCAATACCTCAAGACAACAACAAAAAGAAAACATGAAGTTAAGGGTTGAAAGGGACTTCTGGGCAGTGGGTCATTTCCAAGTAGCAGACCCAGGGCGTGCCCTTTGGTCATTCTCCCGTCCGTTCAGCTGGACACTCTTTCAGAGTCAGGATCTGTGCTGGGGGTGAGACCACACAGTGATCAGGTAGCCTCTGCCCTCACTCTTACAGGCCCCTGTAGAGTTGGTGACAGGGTAAGTGGCAAACTACCCTGAGATATTCAGTGACAACAGTGAAAAGGGTGAAGGGAATAATCATACCCTTTGTGAGTGACTGGGAGCCTGACTTTGGTGAGGGGGGATTCCAGGAAGGCTTCCTGGAGGAGGTGAGTTTAAGAGATGTGAACTGAGGTAGGGGAAGGGTCTGCCAGAGGCTGCATGTCTTGTAGATTTGAGGACTAGCTTGGAGACTTATGGAATGACCAGGATTAGAAGGAGAGATGGGAGATGACAGTAGAGAGAGTGTGAATATTGCAAGCAGCCAAGATGAGGTCTTTGCTAAGGATGATGGGAGCTGTGGAAGGTTTTAGCCCACCTGTCCCCAGGTATGATGGGATTTTTAAGAATTCATTGCTATGATTATGCTTAAAAATCTTTTGGGTGCCGGGACCAGGCATATATTCATACAGTCAAACTTGGAGGAGGTGGGCCTCAGAGCCACCACAAGGGGCTAAGGGTGACCCCGACATTCCAGGTCCAAGCTCTGGCAGGTCAGAGTGGGGCAAACTCTTGCCTCAGGACCCCATGGGGTAGGGTAAGCTTGCTAAATTTGGCAAGTAAAGATCTGGGACTCAAAGTTAAATTTTTATTTCAGATAAAGGACGAAAAGAAATTAAATGCGAGCATGTTTTGCGCAATATTTGAATATTCGTCGTATATTGGAAACTCAAATTTAACTGCGAGTCCTGTATTTTATCTAGCAGCTCTACCTTGGAGAGTCAAATGGAGCCGCGCAGGCAAATGGCGCTGCCCGGGAAAGGCGTTTTCTGGTGCGGCGGAGCCCCCTAGCGGCCTCTGGCGGGAGCGGCGGCGCGACCTCGCGGGCCCCGCCCTGGCAGGCCCCGCCCCCGGCTGCAGTCCCGCAGGTGCCCAGCAGGGGGAGCGCGCGCCCTAGGTAGGGTCTAGCTCCCACAGGGTAGCCACCTAGGGCACCCACAAAGGTGTCCCCAGAGCCTTGGCCATGTGGCCCAACCAGAACACCCCCACTGAACATTTACCCGCTGTAAAATGGGTCAAGCAGAGCCTTATTATCAATTTCCCGGGTCCTTGTGGAATCCTATGAAAAAATATTAGTTATATTTTAGAGCTGTGTTGGCATATAGACAAATACCATTTAAGCAGAGTTACATGACTTACTTTACTTATTTTAAAAGAAGCTAGAATTGTAATTTCATTAATTATATCTCAATACAAATGAAAAAATTACATTTTCGTGGGCCTTTGCTCACACGACAAAGGCAACAGGAGAATTGGGGGCCATGTGTGGGTGGCAACAGAGGCCAGGAGTTCCAGGGTTTTGGGAGGGCTCTGTCTTTTAAGACAGAGATGGTGAATTGTTTCATCTGCCATTCATCTCCTTGAGAAAGATACCCCAAATCCTGTGGGTGAGAGAGGGAGGTGGGGAGCACATGAATGCTTTTTATTCAACCAGCATTTATTTGGCACTAACTGTGTGCCAGCCCCATCTCAGGGCTGGGGATCCAGCCAGCAGCGAGGCCAAGTAGGTTAAATAAACACAGCTATTTCAAAATAGAAGCACATCCATGGAGCTAAAACAGGGTGGGGTGATGGAGACACACCAGATATTGGGGGGGTCAGGGACAGACCACCTGAGGAGCTGGCACTCCAGTTTAAATCTGAAGGCATGGGGGCCTCCCTGGTGGCACAGGAGTTAAAGACACAGCGCTATCAAGCTATCCCCAGCCAGGGAGTAACCCACATGGCACAGCAACCTCTCCTGTCTCCCTGCTGCTCCCCTCAGCAGTGGATTTCAGTGGATCTGCCTGTTCTGCTCCCCACTCTGTCTCTGGTGAGTCCTCTCACCTCCCCCTCACCTCGGACCTACGCCTAGTTCTTGTATGCATAAATAAATAAATCTTTAAAAAAATAAATAAATCTGAAGGCATGGAACCACGGGGTGATCTGTGAAGGGCAAACGGTCAGCGCAAAGGCCTGGCGGTGGGAACATATTTGAGGAATAACATGGGAAGATGCGCAGTTTGGGATCTGGATGAATTTATAAGAGAAGGCTCCCTAACCCTGAGTGCTGGGCCGGTTCAGTAATTGACTTAGAAGCTGGTTTTTATGGTGGCAGGGGAGACTCCAAATGCAAGAGGGGTCCCCCAAGATGGCCTGGCTAGGAAACCTTCTAGGGTGGGAGTCCCCATACCCATTTCCCAGCTTGAGAAATGAAGGCCAGATGGGTGTGCGCTAATCTAGTCACCCCGCTGGCACATACTCAGAACCTGGGCCTACTGCCCACCCCCCACCTCTCCTGGAGCCAGCAAGTCTTATATCAAGTCTCAGCTCCCTCTCTGGGCTAAAAATAGCAGCTCCTTACTGGAGGCAGCTGGGAATCCTGCAACCCCTCACTCTCCTGGGCTGGGCAACTCTGAATAAGCGGTCTTCAGCTACTCAGGGACAACAGCTTCCTCTGGTAAATGGGGGAAAGACAATACCCCTCTTACCTTCGGAGTACCCCACTCTGCCCTTCCCTTTGAACAAAGGGAAATGTAAGCTTGAAAATTTCTGTAAGAAAAATAAATATTGACCCACTTCACAGAGTGGGAAACTGAGGCACACGGAGGCCCATGCACCTGCTGCAGGCAGGGCAAGGGATGAATTATTTGGGGAAAGGAGGCTTTCCTGAGCTTTGGAGAGTGAACTGCCGCCAGCCCTTACAAGCCCTTCCCTTTCCCAGACCCCCTGGGTCTCTAAACGGCCATTCTTCTGATGGATGGCTGTCTCTGCTCTTCCCTTTGGGCAAGGTGGGGGGTGCAAGTGAGAAGGGTGCTGGGTTAGGTGTTTAGTCTGTGTGTGTTTTATGGGTGGGGCGTTTAACATCCTGAAGGTAGAGGCCTCCCCCTCCCACCACCTGGGTTCCCCCAGGGCTGGCCGGGTAGGGGCAGTTCCTCCTGCACACTCCCCAGCACCCATTGCTGCACTCAGGATTCCCCCAAGAGTGTGCCCCCAATTTGGGGGGCATGGTGTGGGGGTCGGCGCGGAGACGTCAGCGCCGTGTGCCGCAGGGAAGTAAAGGGCTCAACCCTGAAAACCAGGAACCTGAGTCCCAGCCCGGGGGGCCCCATGAGAAGGGGAGCCCGCTGGGTGCCCCAGCCCCCCCACGCGTGCACCTGGCTCTCGGCTGGGCCGGAGCCTGAGCCCCGCGATTGGCCCTGAGCGTCGCCTCCGCGGCTCGGCCGGCCGCGAGCCCCCGCCGGCCCGGCCTGCCCCGGCCCGCGCCTCAGTTTTCCGCTCTCGGAAAATGGGCTCGTGACGGGCTTGGGCGCCGTGGGAACGGGGGCCGAGCATTTCCTCAAGCGCCGGGCGCGCGGCCGAGCCGCCGAGCGCTCCGCGTGCGGACACTGTCACCACCGCCGGGGAGAGAAGCGCGGGAGCCCCGCGGGGGGCCGGGGTCCCCGGCCCTGACAGCCGGGGGGGCGGGGCCGCGCCCTCGCGCCGAGCAGGCCCCGCCCCGCGCCGCGCCCGGCCCCGCCCGCAGCCGCGCCCGCGCGAGACCCCGCGCCGCGCGCCGCCCGCGGCCCCCGCCCCGCCCCGGCCCGCGCCCCGCAGCGCCGGCGTTCGCCTCCCCTGGCCTCAGCGGGTCCGTAACCCCCGTTTTCCAGGCGTGCGAGCCGGCGCCGCGAGGCCGAGCCCGCGAGGGCGAGGCGCTCAGTCTAAGGGACGAGAGAGAAACTCTGAGCCCGGCGCGCGCCTCTCGGTGCCCGGTGAAATGGGAAGGGGAACCCCGGGCCGGGGCCGGTCCTGCGGCCTTCGGGGTGGAGGTCCAGCCCCGGTCCCCTTCGGCCACCCCTGAAGCGCTCCCAGCCCCGCCTGCGCCCACGACGCCCGGTGCGCCCCGGGCCTCGGCGTGCACTTTGTCCACTGTCCCTAGGCCGGGGGCGGGGCTTCTCGCGTGGCTGTTCCCCTTTTCTTTAATTATTTATTATCCTTTAAAGGGGCCGCGACCTGAAAATTTCAGTCCACACTCCCCCGGCACCCCTGGCTGGGCGCGCGCCGTGGGCCGAGCGCGGGGGGCGAGGGGGCGTCCAGGAGGGGGGGCGGCCCCGCGAGACCCCTCCCCGCGTCGCGGGCCGCGGCGCTGAATCACCGGCGAGGTATTTGCATCTGAGAGCGATTTGTCACCCGGTGATTTGTCTGCGGGGCGGTGAGTGCGCCGGGCCGGGGGAGGGGAGGGGCGGGGGAGGCCGCGCGCGGGGCGACTTTTACCAATCGGGGCGGTCGGGGGTGTAGACGCGGACGCGGCCGGCGGCTCGGTGAGTCCGCGCGCCGCACCAACCCGGCGCGCCGGGAGACAGCGGCGCGCACTCGCACGGCCGGCCCGGGGCCAGCGCGGCCGGGCAGGGCGGGACGCGGGCGCGGGGCGTGCGCCCCCCGAGCGGGCCTGCGCGGTGAGGCGGGGGGCGGCCGGCCCGGGGCCCCCCGGCCCTGGAAGCCGGGAAGGGGCCCTCGGCGGCGGGCGGGGGCGGGGGCGCGGGCCGGGGGCCGCGGCCGGGCGGGCAGCCCCGCGGGCCGGGGTCGGGGGTTCCCTCCGCGCCCCGCGCGGGCGCGCCTCGCCCCGAGCGGCTGCCGGGGGGCGCGCGGGAGCGTCGGGGGTCGCGGGGACGCGCTCCCCCCCCGCGGCGGAAGGAAATGGTCTCTCGGTGCACGCGGGGGGCTGCGAGCGGGTTCTCCCTTCAGGCTTTCTCCCCGGAATCGGAGGGTGCCTCTGGGGCGCCCCGGGCGCGGGCAGCCCTCCCGACGCGGGCGGTTTATTTATAAAGTGCCGGGGCCGGGCCGGGCCGGGCCGGGAGGGTCCCTGGAGAGCGCCGCGGGCCCCGCACTCGGGGTGCGCACGGCCGGGCCCCCGCGGTCTGGCGGGGATCCCCGGGAAGCAGCCCCCGTGTCTGCGCCCCCCAGACACAAAAGCGGGCGCAGGAAAGCGCGGGGACCGCGCGTTTGTCAATCCCAACGTCCCGAGCCGCCGGGCGGCGCGTTGGTCAATGATCTTCCGTTTTCGGCGGGGCCGGAGGGGGCTGCCCCCCCATGCAAATTGGCCGCTTTCCTAGAAGCCTTTGAAATCCGGGCTGGGGCTTTTTCGTTTTATTTCTTCTTCAGTTTTTTCTTCTCACTTCCTCCGGGCCGCCCCTCCCGCCTCGCCACCCCCCTCCCCAGCCCCCCGCCCCTCCCCCTCCTCGGTGGAGCGAGGCCCCCTTTCGCCACCCGTGGGCCCCAGCCTTGCACAACTCTTTAAATAACCGTGTTTTGCAAGGCCCCCGCCGGGGCGGCTGACCTCGCTCTCCCCCGGAGGCGTGGGGAGGGGGGTGCGAGTAGCCCCGATGGGCTCTGAACCCCCGGCCGGGTCTCCACGGCCACCCAGCACCTCCCAGGCCGCGGCCTCGGGGATGCCCGCACCTAGGAGTTGTCATAAAGTGGGGGTGGGGGCAAAGGACAAAGGGCTCTGGGGGGGAGGGATTCGAAGGGGGTGGGCTTGGTCAGCTCAGAGTTAATGGCGTCCCAGGGGGGGCTCTGGGGTTCCCACCTGGCCCCTCCGCCGGCCCGTGTGGAGCCCCGCTCCGCTCCCCTCCCCCCACTGGCGACCCGGAAGGGTCATTAAACCCAGCAGGCCTGGGAGGGGGGGCAGTGAGTGGGGAGTGGCTTCCTCTGGCCTCTTCCTTCTGCCCCCCCAAAGAGGGGGGAGTTGCCTGGAGCATTTCCGTGGGGGGGGGCTTGTCTTGAAGTTGTCAAAGGTGGGGGAGGGGCGGCAGACCTGACTAGACACACTGAGGGAGAAATGTCCCCTCAGCATTTCTCGAGCTGGTGGGGGGAGTGACCACCAGTGCCTGTGGTGGGGGAGAGGCTGCTCTGCTGCCTCCCAGGACCAGCTCTGGTGGTCATTCTCCTGCTCCTTGGCCTCTCAGAGGGTCCTTTGTGCCTGAGAACCCTGTTCCTGCTGGCCACAAAGGCCCTTTGGGGACATAACTCTCCCTTTCCCACAGGGGCCTCCCACCTGCCCCCCACTACCCCCTCACCCATTCTGCTAGGAACCCTGGGGGTCTGGGTACAGGGTGCCGGGCTGGGGGGCTAGGTGCTGGTCTGGTGAGGAGGGGAGGCTGAGGGGGTCTGTATTTGAAGCTCTTGGGGTGGGGCGGTCACTTCAGCCAGTCGCCACGGGGCCTGGGAGGGTGGCCAGCCTGGTGATGGAGTGGCGGCTACGGGGGGCTGTGCCGCCTGCTCTCCTGTGTGTGGGCCCCATCTGCCTCAGGAACTGTTTAGGAGCCTTTAGGGGTTCATTTGCTGGATTGGGGTGGCCTGGCCCCTCCTGCCCCACCACAGCCCCATCCCTCTGATGTCCCACCTGGGACCGCACTGCCAGACCTGTGGGTTCTGCCCAGTCTGTTCTCTTGGTCGCCTGGCAGGTGGCAGGTGGCCTGGACTTGGGGGAAGTTTCTGGGATGTTCTGCTCAGAGCCCACCCTAGGCCCTGGCAGTTAGGGTTGGTGGTGGTCCGAAGTGACCCCAGAGTGGGGGCAGCCCTTGTTGCATTCTGGGACATTTGCCCACTTGGGGTCCCAAAGGACTGGGAGCTCCCTTGAGGAGCTCACTGGGGTGGTACGGGAGGCTCTGAGGTCACCTGACCTGGATTAGAATCTTAGCCCTTGGGGAACCCCTCACCTCCAACAGCCTATCTCTGAGCCTTTTACCCGCTAGAAGTGTGGCCACCCAAGGCTTCCTTCCTTGAAGCTCACGGGCGGCCTGCTGTGTGCCTTCCTTTACCACCAGAGACATAGCACAGCAAGGGAGCCACTTTGGTGCCATTTTGCAGATGGAGAAACTGAGGCCCAAAGGGGTCATGGCTTAGGGGTGAGGACAGCGTGGGTGGGAAGAGGGTGCGCACAGCAATGCCCCTGCCAGGCGCTGGCTGCCGGCTGAGGAGAAGGGTGCTGCCCGGAGCCCTCTGTTCCTGGGCATGAGTCACGCCTGGAACTCAGAACTAGAACCCAGGGCCCATCTGGACTCTGGTGCACAGAGGTCAGCTGGCCAATCAGCTGCCAAGTGTGCCCTGTCCCACCACTCAGTTTATGACGTAATAATCCAGGGCCTTCCAGAGGCGGCACAGTCGCTCAGGGCCTGGGTATTTTCCTGTGGGCCACATGGGTGGGGGCCACCTCGAGACCCTCGGAGTTCAGTGCAGGGTGGCCCCACTTCCCAGCCCTCTGGAAGGGGCAAATGGGGAGAGCACACTCCTCCGCCTCCAGGAAGGCCTTCAGGTTTGCACTGGATGGGAGGAATTTTCCCAGAGACCTTTGTGGTCTGGCCTTCATATGGGAGGAAGGATCTGGAGTGACTAAACCAGGTCTGACAGTCTCTCTTGTTGCCCCCAGGTTTCTGCAAACACGTCAATGAGCTGAATGCCAGCCACTGCCCCCTTGTGCTGGGCGTGAGGAGGTGTCTGCTGCCAGCTGCCGGCATGCCCCACCAGCTCTCGGCCTGAGCCCGGCGGCCCCGCCCCCTCCCCTCCTGCCACCCTGCACTGCCCCAGCACCCACGAGGCCCCCACACTGCAGTGCGGCCGGGCCCCCTCCCCACAGGGGCCGCCCCCGCCGCCTACCCCTGGTGCCCGGGGCGGCCCGGCCCGCAGGGCCATGAAGCTGCAGGCTGTGATGGAGACGCTTTTGCAGCGGCAGCAGCGGGCGCGCCAGGAATTGGAGGCCCGGCAGCAGCCACTGCCACCACCTGAGCCCCCCGCTAGGCCCCTAGCCCTGGCTCGGGCCGCCCCAGACGAGGATAGAGAACCTGAGAATGCCCGAATGCAGCGGGCGCAGATGGCTGCACTGGCCGCCATGCGGGCTGCTGCTGCTGGTCTTGGCCACGTACCCAGCCCCGGTGGCTCCGAGGACGGGCCCCCCGGCTCAGAGGATGAGGACACAACCCAGGAAGGGGCACGGGGTTCACCTGGCCAAGGCAGGGAAGGGCCAGGACAGGCTGAAGGAGACGGGCACTTCGAGAACGTGGGCTCCGACGATGAGCTGTGAGTTGGGGCCTGGTAGGCGTCTCTGAAGCGTTTGCCTGTGCCAGGCAGCGCTGGGTGCTGGGGACACAGCATGGGGGGAAGACCAGCTCTTGTCCTGGCTGGCTTCAGGACTTAGGGATGGTGATGGAAACGTTCTCCAGCAGTGCGGGGCCCTGGCCACAGATGGCTGTTGGGTATTTGAAATGGATTCCAGTTTGGAATTTAATTTCACTGAAGTTCAGCTACCTGCACAGGGCCAGGTCCACGCTGCCAGTCAGCGGGGCAGAGTCAGTGGCATAGGCGGACAGGCCACGTGGGACCTGCATGGGACAAGTGACAAGTGTCCTGTGGTCCCACCGGGCCTGGTGCCCTGAGCCCGGCCTGCTCGGGCCTTACGGGAAGATGCCTGACAAGCAAAAGAGCAGAGATGAGGCTACTGAGAAGCACATCAGGGGTGTCAGGAGGGGTGGCGGGGACCAGGGTCAGCTTTAGATGGCAGAGGGTGGACGTCTCCCTGTGGGAGCGGCAACCCCTTGGTAGGCCATGGGGGCCGGGAGTGGTGGGCCAGGCGGGGCGGAGGGGGCGATGGGTGTGGGAGGGGAACAATGTCCCTGAGGCAGGACCTGGCTTGGCCTTTTCAGAGCCCGGCGTGGAGGTCTGTGCCCCGGAGGGGAGGAGGGAGGAGAGGAACTGGGGTTAGCAGTAGGCAGGAGCCCCAATTTGTGCCTACGGCCGCTCCATCTGACTGGGAACTGGGGAGGTATTTCCCGTGCCCTCTGCTGGTCATGGTCACAGGCCCTCCCTGCAGCCAGCGCAGGTGGGGGCCTCTCCCCACACTCAGAGGGAGCCCAGGGCCGGGATGAAGAGGCATGGCCTGGCATGCTGCGCATCCCCCTGACCCTGAGCCTGTGCCCCCTCCAGGAAGCCGAAGTGGGAGGAGGAGGAGGAGGAGGAGGAGCTGGAAGAAGACCTGGGGGACGAGGAGGATGAGGACTTCGAGGATGAGGAGGGTCTCGGCCCCCCAGGCCCCTCAGCCCTGTTCCCTCGGAAGGCTCAGCCGCCCCAGGCCTTGCACGGCGAAGGCGGGCCCCGGGGACTGGGCAGCCAAGAGCGAGCCGGGGCCGGGCCGGCCCACCCCGGAGGGGCTGCTCACATGGTTCCCCAGCTGCAGCCGCCGGACCATGGGGACTGGACGTATGAGGAGCAGTTCAAGCAGGTAGGCATGCGTCGAATTGGGGGATACCCTGTTACTGCAGGGTCCTTCCAGCTGGCCGTGATGCTGGTCCGGGCGCCGGGATTCCTGTGGAAACCGAGGCCGTGGTGGAGTCCCATGGGTGGCTGGGCCGGCTGTGGAGAGCAGATATAGGGACATGAGCAGTGAGGGCGAAGTTTGGGGCGTTCCCAGGAGACGGCTGAGTGAGAACAGGCTGGACCTGGTGTGGGCTGCTGGTGGGGCTCGGTGCCCCTGAACGGAGGCTGTGTGGCCTGTTGGCTTGAGCAGGGGTGGCCATGCCGGTGTCACAGCTCCCGGGGGCTCCAGCCGGGAGGGGAGGAAGTGGCCATCCTGGTGCCTTCCCTGTGGGCGACCAGGGCAGAGGAAGTAACCAGGCAGGGATCCTTTGAAGTTGGGCCTCGCTGGGCTGGGCAGATGGAAACCAGATGACGGGGTGGCTGGCTAGGCTCACATTCCAGCCAGCGGCCAGCTGGGCCCTGCCCGACCTCCGGGAGTGGCCGGTGGGAACCTGGCCACCCTGGCCCCGCTCAGGCCCCCTTTGGGCTCCATGGGGCTGTGGACACAGGGCACATGTGGCCACCTCTGTGAGGCTCTCCTCAAGGGAACCTGGGGCCCAGCTATTGTTTGTGACTGCAGGGGAATGGACTGAGATGCTAATTCTGGGGGACCCAGAACCCGAGGCTTCCTTTTCAGCCCCAAGGCTGCTGTACCGCGACACTCTTTCAAAGACTTGAATTTGGCCATCGGAGAGCTCAGAGTTAGAGCAAAGAACTCGGACTCAGGCTCGAGTAGGGCAACGGGGGCCTGAGATGGGGAGTAAGGGGAGGTTGGGGAATGGGATCCCGGCGGGGATGGCCCGGGCAGAGATCCAGAGGCGAGAGGAGAGCTCCAGCTTCCAGGGCTGGAGGGGTTTACACCCCGCTGCCCCTCATGAGCTGCCCAGGTGCCTGGCTGGTGGCACGGCCCGTCTCCCAATCTGGCCGCAGGGCTGAACGCTAAGCGTGGGGACAGCAGTCTCATCACCTCCAGGCACGTGGGGGAGGCTGGACCCCGCGTGTAGCGCCAGCCCTCGCCAGCCTAGGCACAGCAACCCCGTCCTTCCCCCTGCCTCAGTGTCCCTCCTTTTCGGAAGGAGTCACTTATCCCATTTCGTAGAGAAGAGTCTGAGGCCCTCTGTTTGGGGTGGAATCTCTGCGCACTGAGGTCTTGAGGTTCTCCGGGTTTAGAATAACACAGAGGGGCACACTGTATTATTTACTCAGGGATCTTTTCAGTCTTCCCTGAAGCCCCCGAACGGGGGCTAGACTAGAGCCAGCCAGTCAGCCAGACTTTGGGGGTCATGGGTGAGGCCAGAGAGAGGGACAAGCCTCAGTAGCCCTTGTGGGGTCAAAGGTTGACAGGACCTCACCCTACCCTGCCCCACAACCCCAGCTCCTCAGACACCACATTGACAGGAGGGTTTTGGGGGGTGGCCAGGCCAGAAGGGGACCGAGGACCACCTGCCTGACCCCAGGCCTCTTGGCATGAAGGGAACAAGGACCACCAGGAGCCACTGTCCTCTTGTCTGGCACAGGATGGTGATGTCTCTGCACCAGCCAGGGTGGGTTACTGGCAGGGAGTCAAGGCCAAGGGCCAGGGGACCACGATGCAGGTGGGCAGTCTTTTATTGAGAGGTCAGGTCACCCGTTGCGGGGTAGAGAAGGTCAGTAAATAGTAAGGTCAGCAAATAAATAATTACAAAGGCCGCCGGATGAAGAAACGTGGTCTGGGGCTGTGGGGGAGGCCTCTTGCGATCAACTTTCAAGTTGAACCTTGTAGGAGAGGACCCAGGCCCGTGTGCAGGAGAGAGCTACCTGAGCAGACACCCCGAGGCAGGACCCCGCTCACGCTTAGGGCCAGAGGCCACCAAGTGGGCCTTGCAGGACTGGGTTCAAGGACAGTGGAGGCTGGGGCAGGCGGTGGGCAGAGGGGAGTCGAGTCCACCCTGCTGGGCCTGGACCTTATTCCTGCTCCACTGTGGCACGTCCAGCTGCCGAGGCCCTCTAGCCCAGCTGGCCAGGCACCTGTACGGTCAGAGTCAACAGTGGCCAGGGCCCAGCAGCCTAGCAGATGTTGGGCTGTGTTGACTCTGGCACCTGACCCGCCCCCTTCCTGGCACGTGGCAGCCCCCTCTGGCTGGCTGCCCACCCACTTGGCACTGTATCTGGCTCTTCCTCCCAGTCTTGGCAGGGCCTGGGCTGACTTCCTCCCACAAACCCTCAATAGTAGTGAAATTCTGCCTTCAGCTACAGTTCAGGGGCTGCTGGGCTGGGAGGGCCAGCGGTAACAGGCTCACAGCCACAGACTCTCCTTGAAAACCCGGCCCCCAAGATGTATGGGCCCCCAAGATGTGTGCTGATGGAGACCGAGTATCTGGAGCTGCCAGCCAGGGGTTTGCGTGCACCAGGGGCAACAGTCAAGATGTCGACCTCCTGGGAGGGGACGTGCAATCCTGGCGATGTCCTGGTGGCTTCCGGTCACTGTCATGGCTGAGCCTGGCCTGTAGAAAGTGACCACGGTGGGATTTTAAACTTGCGGACCCTTAGTCACAGATCTTCAGCTGCTTCAGCATTCAAGCGCTTAGTTTCAACAACTCAAGTAAATGTTGGGATTTTTAAAAACAGGTTTAGTGAGAGAAAATTTACATAGTACATAATTCACCCACCTAAAGCATGCAATTCAGTGGTTTTAGTTTATTCATAGGACTGTGCAACCATCACCCCAATTTTACGGTTATTTTCATCTTCCCAAAAGAAACCTTTAAAATGTGTCCTTCATCATGCCCCGCCGCCCCTGGCGCCATGCACCCACTGCCGGTCCAGCTTGCCCCTCCCGGACGCTTTTCATCAGTGGACTCAGACCACGTGGCCTTGCGTGTCTGGCTTCTCTCCCTGAGCGTCGTGTGTCCAGGGTCCCTCCCCGTGGTCCCAAGATTCAGAGCTGCCCCCCTTTCATGGCCGGGTGACGCTCCCATGTGGGGGGACGTGTGTAGAGCCCTTCACCAGACGAGGGACACCTGGGTGGTCCCACCTTTTGGCTGTAGTGACTTGTACTCTGCACGTGTGCAGGCTCGGTGTGTGTTCTCCATTTTCCTGGGTCAATACCTGGAGTGGGATTGCTCGCGGCCACTCTGTATTTAGCCTCCGAGGCACTGCGGTGCTGTTCCCATAGTGACCACCCTGCGGGCCGCAGCTATGCCGGAGGCTTCAGGGTCTCCGAGTCCCGTCTGATGCTTTGATTCTAGGTATCTTTGTGGGGTTGGCCTGGTATGTCACGGTGGTTTTGATTTATATTAAATGCTGGGGTTTTCCCTGCTTTCCAAGGTAACGTTTGCTCACCACATAACTTGAGCTCAGTGGTGTAGCCATGACAATCCCAGGGTGACATCTCTGGCTGGTATTGTGACTTAGCTCTGTGCAGGTCAATGACTGAGATCACACGCGTCCTCTGTACCCCCCTTGATCTCGTGGGGGAGGAGACGGCACAGGCGGGGAGCCAAGGCGTCAAGGCTCTTGCCCACAGTCATCTGGGGTGGTGTCTGGGCTGGGATTTCACCCTGAGGTGTGCTGTGCCCAGCAGCTGCCGGAACCATCCTGGTGGCGTAGACACAGGGGCAAGGGTGGTCTGGGAGTCAGAACCAGGGGCGCCACTGGCTTTGGGGCTTGGGGGAGCCCTCTGTCCTCTCAGAACCTTTGTTTCCTTGTCTGAAATGGAAGTGATGCTCGCATAGGGGTGTCAGGTCTGAGCCGACACACGGGCACGTGGGCCCTGGCAGCCGTGGGTTCCAGACCCAGGAGGTTGGTGTGCTCTGCCAGGGGGCCCATCCAGCTCCATGCGTGTCCTGCTCTGCCCCGACCCGCGTGGCCCCTAGAGGTGAAGCCTTGGGCATCTGAGGGGATTGAGGCCCCATCGTGTGTTTTTTTGGTCCTTTTTGCTCACTTGGAACTTCTAATCATGGGAAATACACATACATGTTTTTAGTTTGGTTTTGATTCTAGAAGTAACCCTCGATGTTGTTCTTGTCGGGAGAAAATAGGAAACAATTCCCGTGAGGCTTGAGGACTTGACCTGGCCAGTGTCTGCCGGGCCTTGTCCACCGACACCCAGAAATGGCACCTGCGAGGTTTCAGAGCGGGCGCTGCAGGGCCGGCGACACGGAAGCACATGTGGCCTCTTTTTTTTCCCTCCTCACGAGCTTACCTCACGGTGTCCTGTGCTCGGGTCCCCTGGTTCTTCTAGCCGTGGCGAAGTTCCCTTGAGGCACCGGCGCCCCGGTCTGTTTCCCTGCTTCCTCGTAAACTCCACTGCAGCGAACGTCCCTGGGCTTACGAGAGCCTCCGCGGCTGTGGGTGGGGTGGGGAGCTGAGGCGTGAGGCCTCGGGGCGGAGGTGGCAGCTTCTTCTCTTCATCCTTCTCTTTTTTTAATCTCTCCTCCCTCCTCCCCGTCTCCATCCTTCTCTTCATCTGGGAGGGGCCAGCTCTGGACAAAGGCATTCCTAGTTCTGGGGGGGTCGGGGCTGGACCAGGATAGGGAGGAGGAGGCTGCCCAGAGGAACGCGGGCCTTGTGGGAGACTGAAGACCTTGCCAGAGGACAGACAAGTGGGATTTGCTTGTGATTGCGGGGGTGAAGCATAAAGTGGGAGAGGGAAGGTGGGCTGAACACTGGGGCAAACCAAAGGTGAGCTCCCAGGCAGGCCTTCCGGGGCCTGGGGAGGAAGAGGTCGGCGCACAGGTGGCCCTGGAAGACCAGGGAGGAGGGTGAGGGAGTAGAGGAGGGTGCTCTGTGCCCAAGGGCCCAGCCTGGCAAAGACCTGGACGTCAGGCATGGGTTCTGAGCCCAGCAGAGTTTCCCTGGTGTGCCTGAGACAGAATGTTTATCCAGAGGGATGGAGGCCAGGCCCGGGTGGTCCCCAGCTCTGGTGCCAGCATCTTCCTGGGGCCC